CAAAGACAACAGTTTGGAGTCAGATAGATCAGGAGTGTATAAGTTGTCTTGTGGTTCATGTCCGTTTTTTACATAGGTCAAACTGGGAAAACATTCGAAGCACGCATAAAAGAACACGGTTAATTATCTGATTCAACCATGGAGTAGTTTACTTAGGAAGGCAGTTAAAAGTAATATTTTTAGAATATGAAACACTTGTAACTTGTACTTACATATCTAATAAATGAATCACAAAAATAGGTACCTAATAATAGTTGGATTTTATCATATACTTATCAAACACTTCCCTGAACATGGTTTCAAGTGGCCAAAGTGCTCAAAACTCGATACTGCAAAAAAATCTACTGGTTATTTCATCTGAAATTGAGTCAACAACATTCGAATTGTTCGATGATAATCGATTTAATTCTCATTGCTGAATTTAAAACTGAAATAATTTCTCGCTTCGATGCGCATCAAGGAAAGGCCAAGGTTGTTTCAGTTGAAAACAATTCTGCCAATCTGAAGGCAAAGTATTGCACAATTGTAATACGATAGTGAACTGGAAATAAAGCGTTACTAGATAAAAATAGTATCGTCCTTAATTTTAAACAAGCTTCTCCAAGAAAAAGTATTGAGAAAATACGAAAAAAAATGTTCATTTATCGATATAAACCTTGAATAATGGGAAATGTCAAGATTGGGTCAAACTGTTTATTCTCTTCTAAATGCGACACGTCATAGTCGTGATTGAAGTCATTTTCTTCCTCTAGAAGATGGTTTGCAAACGTGGAATTAATGTTTCCATTCAAAAAAACTACTTTTATTGACTTCCAAGGATTCTAGTTGGTTCAATATTTAACCTTCAATTTCTTTGTATAATATGCTGTAGTTCATGACGAAATCTTGGTTGCTCTCTAAAAGGTAGCAAACATAGGTGGTTAGGTTAGGTTAGGTCCAAAGTGAGTGTGTCTATTCGACCCTCCACCGCAACCCGCAAGGGTTTATTGTGGCTCACACCTAGTCACACTCGACCAAATAAACTCAGCTTCTTAACGAAGCCCATTAGTTTGTATAGTGAGTGGTCTTTCAGGTCAGATAGTAAGAATACGGCTCTGCCGAACTCTAAAAACCTTATTCGTTCCCCAGAGGGGCAGGCTGTTTCATCATTTTCCAACCAGAGGCGGCACACACTGTCTTCCGACAGTCCAATTCTCTGCATATGATGATTCGAATGACAATGACCTGTAAGAAGGCCTGTTAGACATCGTAGTTCATCCTTACTGTAGTCCAACAACTATTTGGTATCATTCTTCGAACGGTGAATAAACGCCTTGGAGTGAGCCAATCCTGGAAGATTCTGTCAGAAGTCCATAAATCTTCTTGCCATCCAGTCAAAGCCTAAAGCGATGCCAATGACAGGATCTGATTCGATGAAGCTGCTTGCAGCACCCTCCTTTGCAAAGGAGTCAGCAGCCTCGTTGCCTTTCAGGCTAGTATGGCCAGGAATCCAGACCAGAGACAATCTGTTGAGTCTTCCTATCGAGGAGAGTCGTTTTTGGCAAATTGCTACCAATTTAGACTTTCACGGTAGGAGCCAAGAGCTTCCAACGTCGCTTGACTGTCCGAAAATATTTTTATTGACTTGTGTAAGAGGTTGGATTCTTCCAATTTCTCCGCACACAATTCAATAGCGTAAATTTCCACTTGAAATACAGTCGCATAGCTTCCTAGGCAGATTGATATCTCTGTCCTGGGTCTGCGACTGGAAACACATGCACCAGAACCGGAAGGTGTTTTGATCCATCTGTGAATCAAAAACTATCTGCTCTCAATATTTCCTTCTCCTGAAGGCTCCAGTCCTCTCTACTGGGAAACAGTACTTTATAAGGCGGTTCCTAGTTGACAGTTGGAGCGTAGATGGACTTGGTCTTCTGGTGTTCCTACATAAACAGCTTGTAAATAATCGATTCGTCCTTCTTGTCACTGTTTGCCAATGTGTTACCAGTCTTGTAAACTATGTCAATGTTTTGTTTATTCAGTAGTCTTTTTATTTTCTCTAATAATTTTCAGGTATCTGTGAATGTTTTGTAGTTGTCAGTATCATTTTAAATGCGAGGGTATACTTGATTTATGGCCTGTTTGAATAGTTTTGATTGAGGTTGTTAATTACTGAAATTTGTTTTAACAAATTCAGTTCCTTATTGAAAGTCCTTGTGGAATAGGATAAAAATTTGATGAATCTGAAGATTATGCTATGGTGAGCTACTATTTTATGATGATAAGGGTGTTTAGAATGTTTGTTGTGGTATATTCTGGTATCATGTTTTTTTGTAATTTTTTTATTATTGTGAGATCATAAAGGTTAATTGAGTTATTGGTTTCCAGTTCTATTTTGAACTTTGTTTTTGTGATAAAATTTTAATATATTGAATAAATTACTGTATATCATCGTCAACATATCGCGATACATAACAATACAAACAAATACATTTTTTGAAAATTGGATGTTGTTCTGAGTGTCGCTGAATGGTTTTCCACAAAAATTTCAGCAAGGAGGGGGCTAAGAGAATTCATCACTCATGAGGTCTTCTTTATTGTTATACCTTTGTATGATTTTGAGCAGCATTTTATCTATGATCATAATCTTGTAGAGGAATGCTTGGGAATCAATTTATGACATCGAAAGAAACCAATTTGGAAGTTGAATATCGCAGAAAAATTGGTTGTGATTTTTAACGATATTTATAAGCAATTTTTTAAGCACTGCAGGAAAATCCTTGAAGCGCTCTCAGAGGGGTGCCTGTGCGAAAGAAGCTATTTACATTGGATTTGAATCGCTGGAGATTAAATCCATTTGGAAAAACGTTCGCAGAAAGTTTATTCCACATAAACGCAGTTCTCTAGCAAACCCTCATGTCACACACGGTCAAAGGCCTTATAAATATCAAGCGCAACAGCTCTTGATTCTCCATGTTTCCCGATTGCGTTGTTCCAAGTATGGGTGACATACGATAGAAGGTCGCCTGTTGATCTTTGTTTCCGAAAATCATATTGATGATCGCTCAAGATGTTGAAGCCTTCCAAAAATTTGAGGATATGGGGGTTTACGACTTTCTCCATGATTTTTGATATCACTTATAGCAAAGCGACTGGTCTATAGTTATTTGAAAGATTTTTCTTTCCCTTTTTGGGAATAGGCTGAATGCGAGCAATCTTCCAACAAGAAGGAAAAACCCTTTTCTTGTAAGACATGTTGAAAAGTCTGCAAAATACTGGTGCGAGTTCATTTGCATACTTATTAAGTACGATGTTGGGCACTTCATCTGGGCCAGACGCCTTGTTGATATTGAGCTGTTTCAAAATTCGCCTGACTATAAAATTGACTGTGGAGCGGGATGACAATTTTTCAGCTAGTAGATTGGTTTTTTCTATGGCTGTTGTTGCAATTGAACCATCCGCTTGTGTTATTGGTGGAATTTCGGATTTTGTAACGTTCTAATTAATATCTTTAGCTACCGACCAGAAGGATCTAGACCCGTTGAGATTGGCAAACAGTTTATCCCTAATTCTCTGATTGTGAAGTTATTTGCTTTCATTTATCCTAAGTTTGCAGCTGTTGCGAGCATTAACAAACCTAGTTCGGTTTTCGGTACTGGGAGTTTTGCGCCACTGCCGGTAGGCGAGATTTTTGGAAGCGATAGCTTGCTCGCAATTTTTGTTGAACCATGGTTTGCCGTTAGAAGGTCGTTTCATTGAAATAGGAATACATGCATCCATGGATGATAATAGTATAACTTTCGTGACTTCAGAAGCACAAGTTGATGGATCTTCAGAGCTGAAACAAACATCTAGCCAGAGAAAATTTCGGAAATGGTCTTGAAGATTCTCCCATTCGGCTGATCTATAATGCCAAACTTTGCGCGGTTCAGATTGTTTCCCAACATTTATTGGCAATTCACTCAACACTGAAATGAGTTTGTGGTCTGAAGATCCCAATGGAGATCTTACGGTGACCGTAAATTTCTGGATCAGTTGGTAGGTATAGATCCAAAAGACTAGCATATTCTCCATCAGAGTCGGGAACCTCAAAATTTGGACACCCTGTATACTATTATACCTGATTGCACAGTTAAGTGTGGGACACTCTTGTAAAAAAATATAATTTCATAATTACATGAAATTTATAAAATTATAATTTATCATCACTCATCCGTATCAGTCATATAGTTGAGAAAGCAGTTTTAATTTTCAAAAAAATTATTTAGACCACCCTGTACATTCGACTTGTCTTGGCCTCAAGATAATTCATTTTCAAAAAATATTAAGTTTGAGATATTGTTTGTCAGTAGAACATTTAGATATGTTTGGATTTTCCACAGGATATTATATATGAAACCCTCTTGAAGTCATTTCAGTTATCAGGATAAGGAGGTTTTTATCAACTTTGGATTATGTAAAAGGAAATGGCCGTGATTAAATAGTACATCATTGCACCTTTGAATGTGTTCTGAATAAGAACTTGTTTTGATGTTATTTAAAACACTACTAAACATTCATGAAGACTAATATGCCTCTTTTTCATATCCACTGACATTTTTCAACAAAAACAAAATCATTTTATTGAAGCTATTATGAATGATCAATGAAATATAATTGAACTATTTTAGTTCTGTGAATTGAACCAGTTATCCAAAAAATATATAAAGATACACAAACATAGTCATTATACTTTGTATTGTGAATTATACCTATGATTGTTCTATTAAAAATAAATGAGGACAGGATGAAGAAGTCTACAAATTTATTATATCTCTGTAAATATGAAAATTATTTAATTTTTACCTATTACTAAAAATACATGATTCATATTTAGTCACAGTTGAAGTTGACTTCATGACACAATGTATATATGATTTAAATAAAAGTATGGGAATCACCGGATATGTAATAACTGTATAGCTAAACCCTTAATATTTAAACCTGACATATCTGGCAATAAGTAAACAAAAAATACATACCTCCACGATTTGCAACTCGAGAAGGCTTTTTGTCCACAACAGTAAGCTCCAAATGGCGATTCCAGATGCTCCCAAAACAACGATCAGTGGTTTATATCTGCACAAGTCCGTAACCAAAAAAATTAAAATCAAATGAGCCAAGTAACTGTAAGTTCCTACGGGGTACACTTTGTGAGTAACGTCATCTTCGGTAATGTTCCTCCATCGTTTGTCGATTAAAAATTCATAAATAAAGGGTTCTGAAGGCCTGAGCTCTTTGAGGAATCCAAAAGCGCTCAGAATAAGTGATATTTTGAACCATTCCTTCATTGTTTAATAAAATATGTGAGAATATTCACATTGTTTTGGTCACAGACAAGACAATTTTTTGACGTTTATCGTAAATAAAAACAATATTCTATAAATCCAAACATTTAAAATGTACCTAGTTAACTCGGCAAAATTCGAACTCTTTCTGAACATATTTCAAGTTTGAAGGTTAAAAATTTAAAGTTAGGTAATCGACATTGTCACGATTGCCACACGACTGTCATGAGCAAAATATAGGCGATTTTAAGTGAACAACCTTTTGTTACCGAAGTATACTCTTTGGTTAAGTTCGAACGTTTCATCAAAGACACTCATTAGCAGAAAATACTTGTTTGCCAATGAACCGTTTTGAAAAAAAAGGTGTAATTGACATGATATCATGCAAAATATCTGAATTGTAAATATTTACCATAGTGGAGAGTGCAGACCCTTCAACTTGTAAAGAGTTTGGTCGACTTTATTTGTACCTTGTACTTTTATTCTACTTTTTGAAAAAAGTCCATTTTGATAAAACTGTTCAAACTAACTCATTTTCATCTCAAAGTAATTCTATCTGTTGTAGCTGGAAGTATTTACCACTTAATATCTACCTGAGTCTATAGTTACTCGGTTCAAATTTCTACTCAACTTGAGCATAGAAAAAAAAATTAATATTTCGACTTGGGTCTATGTAGACACCGGTTAAGTCAATTCTGTCACACTTTGACAATACATATTTCAATCATCTGTTTGTGAGCATGTGAAGCTGTAATTGTAAAAGTGAAAACTGGAGTGAAAGACTGAGGACAAATCTCGATGGCCGTCGATGTCAAAGATTAGCTTTGCGATTGACTGACTTGGGGGTCTTCGTTTATCTTTGATACTCGAAGATTGAGTCGTCTGCAGTCTCATAGATAGCGTCTTCATGAGTGAAAATGTTATAAAATAATTAATATCATTTGTCATGCCACCAAAGAAAGGCAATGCAAAACCGGCTAAGAGTGCTAAAACTGATGATTCAACCGATAAAAGCGGTAATTCCATTGATCATTTAACAATATTCAAATGGAAAACTATTACATTTTTTATTCCAGCAGGAAAAGAAAAGAAAGGAGGATCTTCAGTCAAAGTAAGGCACATTCTTTGCGAAAAACAAAGTAAATGTTTAGAGGCGCTGGAAAAACTAAAGGCAGGCCAAAAATTTCCAGAGGTAGCTGCAGCATACAGTGAAGATAAAGCTAGATCGGGAGGAGACCTAGGTTGGATGGTGAGGGGCTCAATGGTAGGACCTTTTCAAGAAGCAGCCTTCGCATTGCCTGTGTCAACTGTCAATAGTCCAGTTTACACTGATCCTCCTGTAAAGACAAAGTTTGGTTATCACATAATTATGGTGGAAGGAAAGAAATAATTATATTGTTGAGTTTTATGGGGTTTCAATATATTTTCCTTAAAATTTCATCTGTTACAATATTAGTAACAGCAAATCAAAACTATTCCCTAGAATGAACATTGAAATACTACATAGGGATGATTTTCAAAATAGTTCAAATAATCTTGATCAAAAAATGTATTGTAGGAACGATTAAGATAGATAGGTGAAAAATGTGTACCATTTCACCTATATCAGTTCATAATCAATAGCAAATGAAAATTCTGTAAAAAATTTCATTTCAATTAACTTAGGTCTTTACCAAATGTTCATGAACTCCAAACCTTACTATTTTTTCAAAATGTGTTTCAATGTCATAATTGCAAATGTAAGATATCCTTAACGGTTCCATGTAAAAAATTCAAGGTATTTTTTATTTAGATATAGAGAATATCAAGCAAATGTGAATGAGTATGTAAAAGTATTCAGTAAATTTTAGTCGTGTTTTACAAGAAAATGAAAACTCCTTTTCAAAATATGACTATTGTGAAACGCCATGTTGGTCAAACATCGAGAACTTTGTGAAGTTGCATCACATCTCACGAAAGTGATTGCAGGAGGAAAATTGAATCATGTGCATTGTCTGAAAACGCAAATGAATTCAGGTATCGAGCTAATTATGATCATTCCACGGTTTTGAACATAGAAAAAAGTATCTCGAAAATGAGTTATTCTGGAGATGTTGACCATCAATAACCATGATCATTCGATGAATAAATGAACAGTGTTAGATAATCTTACTCAAATATTTTTCATACTTAGTGAAGCATGAAAAAAATATATCACTTGAAATGATTCCTTTTAATTTGAGATTCAAAATCAATGATACCAAGTCACTGAATTATAAGTTCCATTTCATGTTTTTTTTGCTCGTTTTGATACCAATTTTCTCATATATTTATAGGTATCATATTCCAATTTTACTTGTCGTTAGGAAGGTAATCAAAATTACGCATAACATAACAGATGTCAAAATAGTCTTCTTTACAATACCCCTTTACCATTGACTGCAACTCTATGGGAATCTTCTGTACAAACCTGGGGCAATTATTCCCATAAAACACATTTCCTTACGGACATTATCATTTTTTATTTGAAGTCAGTAGACATATGCTCAACATAGACTAAATTTTTCAGATAACTTCAAACTGCTTAAAGAGACATGTCTCACTTCATTTTGCTAGTTAATTGCTAATCGAAATAGTTGAAAACTATTTTCAAGTAGAACAAAAATATCTGCATAAGCAGTATTGATATTCCCTTAATTATTTTTTTAAGAAACAAAACTGCTTGATTTTTTTTATATTACATTGTCATGCCATTATATTTTGCAGTACCTACATAATCTGCCATGAAAAAATTTTTTAGAACCAGAAATATTGGGATAATCCCTGATTCTCAACAAAAATGGGATTTCAAGAATGAAAAAAAATAACCTACTGAATGTTTTATTAAAAGTACTTAGCATACACATAGAAATACTTTTATTTGATATTAATACTATTATTACTTGATGATAATAATGAATTCCCCCACTCACAAGAATTTTGTCTTGGGCTACATATGAGGATTCGATTGGAAACTCATTATTATTGTCAGATCTAAATCTAATTCTTAACCATACACACTAGATTTATCCAGAACTAAATCTATCTAAGACTATTAATAAATTAAATAATTATATAAATTTATTCAGCTTATATATTTCTAGAATACACATTCAATGTGGCTTTGGGAAGTGATACCTATTTTAATATTATTTATAATACAAAACACAATGAACACAATATTATATGATTTCCTTGATTTATTTGAAAGACATTGCCCGACTATGCTGTGGAAAAACGAAAATCACATAAAAAAACCATATTTAATTCTTACATTTGATTATATATAGATGAATACTATTTGCTTACATATAGACTAATATTATCTTTCAAATGAAAACCTCAAGGTTCTTAACAATTCTGGAACATTTGGTCAAAATAACGATATTAATAATTTTCACTTCAAATTCTAAATGAAAACAGCTCGAGCTTACAAAATATAATTATTAGATGAACAAACTTGAAGCTTTTTGGAAAAAATGGGGCAAAATATAAATACAATTATGGAAAAANGAGAGTGAAATGTAATGTCACGAAATTTAGGACCGCTCCCACTCCCTTCTCATACTTCGTCAACCCCCTGTCTCCCCTTAACGTGTGACGTAATTTATGGATGGCCCCTAACGGTCGAGATTGACACTTGCACATTGCATTATAACAGAGTCCATATTTGACTGTATATAAAGAGCATTGCCATTTGATGCATGAGCATCAGCGACAAAGTTCTACGATAAGCTCTGCTGCACAAAGCTTGGTACAAGCAAAAGATTTATATGCACTCCCTACTTTGTTCTATTCCAAATATGTAGGGTAGGGTAGTTGAATTAGGTCCCGATTCCATTGAATAGCATTAAGGGCGATCCCTTGGTCATGCCGGATCCAGTACAGTTCTTGTTAGAGGGAGGTTCTCATCTTGGCACTGTTTCTGTATAAACATCAACCATTGCGTAGCTCCAACGTCGGTCAGTGTTCTTTTAGGGATATAACGCTGACAAATGAACGCTTTCAAGTTCTTCTTCGCTTCTTTAATGAATGATAGTGTAGTCCTCAATCAAGTCAAAGCTTTTAGCAGCATATATATATGAACAATTAGAAATTTTCTAGCACCTCTAACAACAAATAATCCTGTCACACAAGTTAGTCTCATTTTAAGAGTGCAAGTTCCAGATATCTCTGTAGATTGAATCGACAGGATAGTAAGTTATGAAACTAGAATCATTGCCCAACAACAAAAGTATGTTGAAATATGTTTTCCGGTAACCAGCTATCTCCCTAAGAACAACAACACTCAAAAGTATAAATTTGTGCGAGCTAAGGATTACCGAGGTCTTATCTTTAAATGTGCTATTCCCAGCATGGGAATATTGACAATTATTGTAGAATGCACCACTCTGAGGCAACAGTTATTTTGATAAATTTTTCTGTTTCGCCTGTATTTCCTCTCAATTAGCGAATTGATCTACTTCAAATATATCGAGATAAAATGTAAAATAAAGTGTTTTCTTTGATAACTCTCGACATATAGAGACTTAGGTCAATCAGGCGCTAAAATAACTACGCAGCTTTCATTTAATAACCATATTACAAAATTATATTATCTTTCAGGAAACACGAGTTATTCATTATAATATACGATTATGGTTTTCATGAATATTACAATTTCCATCCTACTGATTAAAACGTTAACCGAACAGAATCTTATACGGATATTTTCTATGGCTGATATCTCATTGCAACATATTAAGGAAAATAAGTAGACTTTCAGAAGGACAGAAAGATCTGTGAAAGTTTACCTAATGATGCTGACACATTCAATAAATCAGCTGAAAATTAGAAGAATATATTTTTATCTAGATACATCATGTAATATGCAACATAACTCATGTTATGAGTTATCATTTCATTATCTGTTAATTTAAAACTTGGCCTTACTAAAAATTCAAGACACAAAACAGAAAACATTGACCCAAAACCAATAACATACCAATTGTAGGTAGTTCACTTGCAAAACTCAATAATTTACCGCTCAGTTGCATCATCAAAGTGTCTTCCGATGCATATTAACGAGTGAATTTATTATTAATATCGAGGTTATTGCAAATGTCCCCAGCTGGCATTCAATATCGAATAATTTTATTTTTCAGTGTGTTGAAGTGCATAATTTTGAGGTGAGATCAGTAAGCCGAATGGAATAAAAATATTGTATGATTCAGAAGTATTAACCTCTGGAAAGACTCAGCTGCTGACGGGACCTTTATTTTACCATACAAATAATTATCGATAAATCCGTATTGAACAAAAAGATACTACTACCTCATTTTATCGTAGATACTATTGTTAGTTCTGGACACATTCAAAAATAACGTTTTTTTGAATCTTTGACAATGAATATCATTGGAGTTTTTTCCCAACACCAAACCATTATTTTAACACCTCAACACGTGTTTCGATCACCAATTGATCATCTTCAAGAGGAAGATCAAACTAATCATACTTTACCTACTATCTACGGTATCTAAATAAGGATAACTTTGAAAGTTTGATCTTCCTTTTGAAGATGATCAGTTGGTGACCGAAACAAGTGTCGAGGTGTTGAAAATAACGGTTTGGTGTTGGGAAAAACCTCCAGTAATATTCATTGTCAAAGATTCAAAAAAACGTTATTTTTGAATGTTTCCAGAACTAACAGTAGTACGATAAAAGGAACTAATAGTATTTTTTTGTTTACTACGAAATTATCCATGAAAAGGTAGGTTACTTTTTTCAATAACTCATGCGAATCGCTAGTTATAGGTAAAACCTAGTATCACAAAAAAAAATTTTCAAATTTTTTTTCATAGTAAAGAAATTACAGTTTTGAAACAATAACATTATTTGTTGTTTTTTCTTGGTCATTGTCAATAATATCTGAATATTGTTTCACAGTTTTTCACATTTACTACAAAAAATATTTGAAAATTTAACAAATCTGGAAACTGGCAAAATTCAAGTATAGGTACATAAGAACATTGCTATTCTCTCCATGACCTGTAGATAATCAACAAATCTATTTTAAAAATATGCTGCTTTCTCTCAAAAAACAGAGAAACAATCTGAAACTGCTCTGCTAATGGGGGAATGGGATTTCTTTCTTTAACTTTGGTTAAAATGGATTTTTCAACACAAAATACCCAATATGTTTCATATATCAAGTTATTTTTGCAAAATAATCCCAAAGTGTTCTGAAGACGAACACTTCGGAAAAAAGGGTGATTCAACAAAGTAATTTTTTGTACAAGAAGTGTCTAATAGCTTCGTATATAGAATAGTCTATATGCAAAGCTAATATCATCTGCTCAAAGTCAAAATGATACCAAGGGCTAGAACACAACTCAATTTTTGTTATGTACTTTAACATATTCAATGAATAAATTGAGTAGTATCGTGAAAGTTTTATAATATTCTGTGACATTATTCTTCTATTCATTGGTAGGTAATAAATTCGGAGCACACCAAATATTAAAAAAAAAGCTTTATAGAATATTCAAATCAGCTAGAGTGGGACAATTTGAAGGCTTTTCTGGAAGCTGCCACTGTTATGTAAGAAAGAAGAATTCTGGGGCAGATAACATGATTTATAGGTAAGTACATTTTTATCAAAAATTTAGTTTAGAAAAAAATCCTGTAAAATGTGTCATGTACCTTGTACAGAGTTTGTCCAGAGATCTACCATCAACCACAATTCTTTTTCATATCTTATCTCTCTGACGTTCTGGTCTTTTTATAATTGTCATGGAGATTTTTTAAGGAATATAGAATAGAATGACCTTTTCTCAAGAACGACTATCATTGGTAATAATCTGAAATGAATATCAAATCGATAAACTTTGAATGCCATTACGAAATCTCTCGTACGTATTGAAAAATATGTTTAAAATTACAATTGACAATATTCGATAAGGATTAAATGGTAGCCGCAGATTTACCGCGCCGTAGGGGAAGCAAAGTCCATAAAAAGAAGAAGAAATGGTAGCCGGATTTTATACTTCATTGTTGGCACCATTGAATTTGTGTCAAATCATACAGTTCCACTTTTTTCCATTAGATGGCGCAACATGAAATGTATGCGGTCAAATTTGAAATTGATTATATTCGTGAAAAATAATGCTAGCCGTCTTTTGAAACTAGCGTTCAAAAGACGTAGAAGTGGTATGCAATCACACAACACCAAATGCCTCCCTTTTCGTCAAATGAAATACGGTCCATTAGAGTCAAAAATATTGTCCAAACTCTCCCAACTCCGCTCTAAATCAATAAATTCGGATTGGTGTACCGCACATACTTCAGAAGATCATCATTTTCTTCACACACCCAAGGCTTGACATGATGGCAAGCAACATCGTGCCAGTTGACTCCGTCGTTGTAAAACTGGTTGAGCACAGCCAAACAGTTCTCGGTTGCTCCCCCTTGATGCGCTTCACGGTTATCTGGTTGGGGTTTTCCAATACCTCCCGTTTCCGACCAATCGTTTTGGTCCCTCTGAGTGGTTGGAGCCAATTTTTGAAGAACAGCCGTCCAGAACCAACCGTTGATGGAGATGGGTTGCAAGTCGGGACGTTCACAACCTTTGAAGTCGCAAATTCTGCCGGAGGTCCAGATGTATTTCACCTGAAAATAAACAAACATTGAATATCACANTTGCAAGTCGGGACGTTCACAACCTTTGAAGTCGCAAATTCTGCCGGAGGTCCAGATGTATTTCACCTGAAAATAAACAAACATTGAATATCATATATTACTGTCTGATCATTTATCTAAATTGTTACATTTGTTAATATATACAGGATGTATCAACGATGTTAGGGGGGACGTTTTAGCTATTTGAGAGTGAAATGTAATGTCACGAAATTTAGGACCGCTCCCACTCCCTTCTCATACTTCGTCAACCCCCTGTCTCCCCTTAACGTGTGACGTAATTTATGGATGGCCCCTAACGGTCGAGATTGACACTTGCACATTGCATTATAACAGAGTCCATATTTGACTGTATATAAAGAGCATTGCCATTTGATGCATGAGCATCAGCGACAAAGTTCTACGATAAGCTCTGCTGCACAAAGCTTGGTACAAGCAAAAGATTTATATGCACTCCCTACTTTGTTCTATTCCAAATATGTAGGGTAGGGTAGTTGAATTAGGTCCCGATTCCATTGAATAGCATTAAGGGCGATCCCTTGGTCATGCCGGATCCAGTACAGTTCTTGTTAGAGGGAGGTTCTCATCTTGGCACTGTTTCTGTATAAACATCAACCATTGCGTAGCTCCAACGTCGGTCAGTAGAATACACATTCAATGTGGCTTTGGGAAGTGATACCTATTTTAATATTATTTATAATACANTCCATGAAAAGGTAGGTTACTTTTTTCAATAACTCATGCGAATCGCTAGTTATAGGTAAAACCTAGTATCACAAAAAAAAATTTTCAAATTTTTTTTCATAGTAAAGAAATTACAGTTTTGAAACATTTTCATGACAAAATAGACTTTTCGAAGGAATTTTCAATAAAAATCGGCATTAATTTTGAAATAACTTCTGGCATATATCCACATAAACTTATATTTTATGAAAGTACTTTTCTGATGAAATACGAAAATGGAAAGCAATTCTACTCTATTGAAAAAACAGGTAAATTTAAATTTTTCTCAAAAAATACTTAATTGATCAATTTCTATTTTGTCTCTTTCGAAGTAGTCCCCCTCAGATATAATACACCTGTGCCAGCATTTTTTCCAGCACTCAAAGCAGTTCTGATAGGCACTTTTTGAAATGTCCTTGAGCTCTTGTCAGCGATTCGATTTTTATCTCCTCAATTGTCACAAATCGCCGTCCTTCCATAGGTCTCTTCAATCATGTGAATATAAAAAAGTCGCAGGGGCGCAAATCTGGTGAATACGGTGGCTGAAGCTTGATTACGGTGTTGTTATTGGCCAAAAAATTACGAACGAGCAATGACGAGTGAACAGGAGCATTATTGTGATGCAAAAGCCATGAATTGTTTTTCCACAATAACGGACGTTTCCTTCATATTGCTTTTCATCAGCGTCGCATAACTAGGTATCTCCTTATGGACCGTATGACCATAGTAAAAATCAACCTGTAACTCCACTCTCACTACTTTCATTCATAAATTCACAAAGTTCTCGGTGACCTCGAAACGAATTGTGGAGCCAATTTCTTTCTTTTACCATAGGCGTGCGCTCATACAAAAACGAAATTTAAGGTTATTATAGAATATATAGAAAACTAATGGTCCCCGGCAACTCGGGCAGATCACGTGGTAAGAAGTCTACTGGTTGTATTATTCTACTGTGGTTTGATCGTGTGGCAAGAACTCCTGATGCGCTTCGCCACGGTAATCGAAGAATAACAGTGAGCAAAACCTTGTAATTGGAACTTGATGTGCTTTCTTCGGTCTTGACTCTCCTGGGATCTTTCATTGGGACGATTGAACTTTGGTCATAACCATATACCCATGATTCGCCACTAGTTATGACCGTTTTAAGTAAATCTGGATCGTCGTAGAGGTCATTCAACAATTCCTGAGCGATGCTTATGTGACGGTTTTTTTTTATGAAAACCCAGCAACTTTGGTACTAACTTCGCTACTGCACACTTCATGCTCAAAATTTTCGAAAAAATATGGCATGGCAAGACTAAAATGGCATTTTTGACTTTATAGTTATGACTTGAGTACTGCATTCTTAAAAAACGTTAACTTTCCCAATCAAAATAATATAACCTTCTGATAATTTAATTCCATAAAAACACAAAGTTATTGCACTAATAATATCTCCGGAGACTTAGAAAAAGCAAACCTTTGACTAACAAATCAACAAATTGCATCGCTTAGAATTGTTTTCCACCAGAAAAGTACTGAGTACTTGAGAACTGCATTACAGAAAAATTGGGAACATTTACTCCAGAACAATTGCTCGAAACCTCTACAGATAAATGAGTACCTACTTATTGGGCTGGGAGAAATCCTTACATAACACTATATAGTAATTAAATCTTAATGTTACGGTCGAAAAAATTGTCATGAAGAAGAGAAAGGCATTTAAACGTGTTTAACAACAAACGACTTCCTCTCTGAGAGAGATTACAGATTAAGGTAATAATTATTGAATGTTTCCCATAAAAAGCATTGAACCGTATTCCGAGTGACATGTTTGCAAATTCCCATTAACCTCTATGAGTCTGACAGTTTCTAAACCCAAGGATTACTAGCGTAAGAGAGGATGAAATGTGTGTGGGATTAGGTGGCTTGAATCCGGCAGCGATAAAATGAAATTGAAAATATACTTTTTAAGAAACAATTCAAAAAAATCCCAACTGAGATGGGATTATAATAAATGGTAACAGGCACCTCTTTTCACTTCTAGATTTTCAATTCTTACAGAATTTACACAATACTATTTTCTGCGAAAAAATCAATTCCAGATCAGCAAAAAAATTGCTAAACGGAAGAATTCTTGCGAAATACGTTTTGAATATCATAATACTTTTATGAAAATGTATTTTTGAGTAGAAAATTCGAGAAAATCCCTAAGTACTTCATTCATGGAATTACTCTAGAATTTTTGCGAATAACTAGAAGTAGAAATGATTATCACGAAATTCATACTCTAAAAGTAGAAAAAAATTTAATCCATCTCCATCTTTTTCATTTGAAATATAGATTGAGGCTAGAATAGTCAATAAGTTCGCCAATTTTTCTTTACACGGTGGATGTTTGTCTCTAGACTCTAACCGATGAAATACACATCAAAATTACTATTGTGATAACAAGACATTCAAACGTACGACATTTACATCACTTTAGATATCAGCCTCCTACTGTAACTCGAATAATATGGATTATTATGATGACGTTAAAATCATGATATAGTACCACCACTAGGCATATCCACTCACCTTCTCGTCCACCAAATGTTTTTTGATCCATTCATTTTCAGCGCTTGTTTCCAAGGAAACAAGATCCATGCAACGTTTTCTGCAATAATTTCTACCGGACAGCCAGTCTTGTTCAACGCCTTTAGTATTGGGGTCTCTCCAACTGAAGAAATATCCTTTACCTGAAAGCACAACAAAACTTTTATGTTTCTGTGTTATTCCTTCAGATATATTCTATAGACGCAAGTAGTGTTGGAACTTTTGGTTGCCTCTCAAAACATGCTGGCCAAACTAGATATTTCTGTTGTTTTTTTTAATTTGAGTACGAACGATAAGTATTTAGAATTTGAAACTAATGAATAGATTGTTCTTAGAGCTTTTTTGAATGTTCAACCAGTTTTCCAGTTTTTTTACAATATGGATATGGTAATGCATCAATCACCTGCTGAGTTCAGAGGCAATACCATATATGGTTATCCTTAAAATGAGCACCTTGGTGTGCATACTAGCAACTTGAAGTGAGAAAGTGGACTGTATTTATGAAATAACAGATGTGAGCATTAACAACAACTGATTTGCAGAACAATTTTGTGTGCCGAGTTAATAGGAGAAAACCAAGAGTTTTCATATTAAACTAAAACAGTAACTTTTTGAAGCTTTCAGAAGCCACATGTAAGAGTTTTAATAGAAGTTTATATAGCAGAAGACACTTTGATGGGTTATCTATTTACTAGAATCCATTGAATTCAGACTACCATCGAATTCAAGTTGAAGGTACTGAGAAAGCGTTAGGCTCAGAGCAAAACCTCTTTTGTTTCTATGTAATCAACTCTATATAACTGGTGAAATATTGAATAAATTTTAACACCCGTAGTTATACTTTGGCGAGGTAAATTTGCCCCCCTTTCTGCTCACCAGCATAGTTCAGTTGAAGTTAAAGTAATGACCGTGTTAGGAATCACACATTGAAAGTTAAGACCTCGTTAATCCTTATCTCGCACAAGTTTCGACTTCTAAGGATTGTCGTTCGTGGTTAACGGTGGTTAACGGAAAAACATATTTTCAAACAGATTTTTTCAGACATCGTTTCAACAAAATTGCTTATTTGATTCGTAGAAAACACGATCATATCAATTTATCGCGGCTTAAATGTGAATGTTTATATTGCTCAATTTATGAACCTTAACCGTATTTGCGTTGATTTCATTCATTAATTGGTTCATAATTCACAACTACTACATTTCATTACTTTCGATTTATACCAATCGTACTTATACTCAATATTCAGCTTCCTGTAGTCGAAAATATAGGTGACTGGATTTTATTTATATGAAGTATTTAAATTAATGGATTGACCGAAAATAAATTAGGATGTATTTACTTGTCATAAACACCCACAATATTTTGCCCGTTTTGTTTTTGATGAAAATTACACTTATTAAAACTTTTACAGGCATATACATTGTTTGTTATGAATTGAACTTAGGGGGAAATCTTTATTGGTTCAAAACTGTAGAAAGATTAAACATCCAGGAATGTATAATAAATTATTATCGGTCAAGAATAATATACCTAAGTAGCCTACTTCCCTAAATAATGTTCAGGTGAAACTTCTGCAACCGATATTCATCGTAAATTCCAGATTTGTTAAGAACCCACACAAACTGGTTTCACTTGGAGGTCAAGATCATTACATTTTTAAAATTTTACTTGTTCGATTGATGATCTATTTCTTGTTTGGAAATTCATATTGAATATATGATACAGAAAATGACTTTCAACTAATTTCTTAGTTTTTTATTTGTAACGACCAGTTTCGGTTTATTAAATAACAAAAATAACAGTAGTTTTTTTCTATAATATATTGCATTATCGTAAAAAAATGGTAAATCCGGTATGTCTACATAAACACGAAAAAAAAAAGATTATATAAATAATGCCTTACAAGCTAATGACTATTTTGATCATGTTACTTCGAGGAAAATTAATGCAAGTATCTGAGGAGGAGGAGAAATAAATAAAGAAGATATCAATCTTGTCGTCAAATGAATAATTTATAATCGCGGTATTAGGATGTAGATGTTCTTGAAAGTGTAGTGAAGGTTAAATTCTACGTTTATTGTTACTTGACAAGTTTCTGAATATACAATTTTTAGGCCAACTGTGTTAAGCCACTTCTTTAGTTCACGATCTCTTGTTGAATTACTTGGCCCACGTGCTATACACTTTTTTTGGCAGCAGACAGATTTACTTTCTGTCCAAGAGGTTGCCTATTTTCTAAAGCTTATTTGAATGACGTTTTAAAATTTGGGAGATTCCACTTAGTTCCCGAGATATTCGAAAAGCGCTGAAATTCGCCAATTTCGTTGTAATTTTGTTGTGACCTGATTCAAGAAGATATAAAAAAAACACATTCTTATTGCCCCATTCTTAACAATCCGACGTTTCGTCTCCGAGCAACCATGGTCAATTTTATTTTTTTATGGACCGAAAAAAAATCACAGCCAACGTTCAACAAGCTATTACTACTTTTGTATTAGGTCTACATACACCATAAACCTACCATTCTTTTTGATTCCTATTTTGCTTATTTTTTGCTTATTTAATGCTTATTTTTTGAGTTCGAGAAAAAATAACATTTTCAGTAGCAAATAAGTCGGAAAGTACCTATTGATTTGGCGGGTTGCCTGTCCTTGTTCATCTTTCACTGCCTGAACCACTGTGCATGATGTTTTTGGCGAGTGCATTGGCTTGGGATGTGGGGGTTGAGCAAACCGGCCATCGGATACGGAAATGACAGAATCACTTGTGGTTCTGTTATTCCACAACTGAATGGCACCCCAACGATGGCTTAATCCTGAGGTGTGTGTATCTGTGCCGAGAGGATAAATGACACTTAGCCTATCAGTTCTTTCTACGGAACCTTCAAGATACCAGGCGCCCTCTCGGCGTAGCATCGCCCTGTCACGGTAATGCGGGGCTCTGACGTGAATGACCTTATTTTTTCCCTAGCTACTCGTGAGTCTACAGATGTCGAGCTTACGACTCCAACTGACCTCCCTGTAAATTTAGATCAGGAGCGAGAGCTTCTCAACTCTCCAACTCCTGATCCAGGAACTGAACCTAAAAAAAAGGTTTGGTGGTGCAGCCAGGAAACGACTGAGTCGTCTCCTTCGTTAAGAAGCTGGGTTTATTTGGTCGAGTGTGAATAGGTGTGAGCCACAATAAAACCTTGCGGGTTGCGGTAGAGGGTCTTATAGACCCACTCACTTTGGACCTAACCTAATCTTTCATAGAAAAACTTTATAGAGCATGAGTTCCATTGAGTAGATCAGTTTCCGGAATGATTTTCAATAAAACATGTTTCACCCAGAAGGGGTGCAATCCACCCCTAGGGCACATGCAACCCCCGATACAGAGTCAACTTCGTAGTGAGTAAAACCTAATACAAATCTTTATGAACATCAGTGCTGCTTGGCGAAATTATACGGGAAAACAGTTAATGACTGGACTACTGGACTATATACCTACCTAGTTATATTTAACAATATGGTACTAATTTACTGGAGTTCTATCCCAACAACAAACCGTTATTTTTAACACCTCGACACGTGTTTCAATCACCAAGTGAACATCTTCAAGAGAAAGATGCAATCAGTTTTCGTGTCTAAACAAGTATCGAGGTGTTAAAAATAAAGGTTTGGGGTTGAGATTAAACTGACTTAATCTTCCTGTTGAAGATGATTACTTGGTGATTGAAACACGTGTCGAGGTGTTAAAAGATGAAGATGATTACTTGGTGATTAAGTTGAGGTGTTAAAAATAATGGTTTGGTGTTGGGATATAACTGATTTAACCTTCCTCTTGAAGATAATCACTTGGTGATTGAAACACATGTCGAGTCGCTAACAATAACAGTTTGATGTTGGGATTTAACTAACTTAATCTTCTTAATCTTCCTCTTGAAGATGATCACTTGGTGATTGAATCACGTGTCGAGGTGTTAAAAGATGAAGATCATCACTTGGTGATTGAAACACGTGTCGAGGTGTTAAAAATAATGGTTTTTTGTTGGGATAGAACTCCAGTAATATTCATTATTACACCAAAGGTTCCAAACAGTGCATCAAAAATATAGTACTAATTCAATTGAATTCAAAACGTCGGCAAGAGTACCATTTTTTTTTAAGAAAAAATTGATCCTCTGTTACCCAACTAACCCCTTTTTCAGAAGAATTAATGGATCACTAAACTAGTTAACTCAATGATCAATGTCTACTTAATTTTCAATTTAGTTCCAAATGTGTTTCCACTTCCGACAAAATAAACCAACAATATATTGATCAGTCTTTTCAGCAACAAAATATCTGTTTTTTCAACTACTACTAGAACAAAAAAAACGTACCATCTGGTGTCCTTTCATGGATAACCCTTTGAGCGCAGAGGGTGGGAACTGGAGGTTCTAATATTCTTCCATTTTGATTTTGAGCTGCGGAAATTGCGAAAAATCCGACTACAAGAATGAAGAGGCTGTTCATTTTGATCTGAAACAAAAAAAGTATAATCGTTACTCGAATTCATGGCTCTTCCGTAATCTTAAGGTGGATATTTACGAAACTTTTTGTATTCATTCCAAACTTCAAATACTCGTATGCTGTATTCATATATCTGGAATACATTCTAGGCTAAAAATGTTTGAAAGGTAGAGAAAGATTCACGTAATTGTTTTAACTATGATTATTATTATTGAAAATCTCTAAAGGGAGATGAAATTAATTTTACAATTCAACAAACCTTAATTTAGAGGAAAAACGAATGATTGAGTTCGTTTTTAGACGAGGTGAATATATAGAACAACTACTTTATGAGATGTTTGGAAGATAAAAATATCTTCAATCTCATATCTTCTCATATGGTAGAAATTTAATAAATTGAGACAAGAAATGAACCTGCCATTGTCAACGACATATTTTAACGCCAGAAAAACTCTGATTTTGCAAAGAAGTGAAATCTAATTTACTGTATATTTCAAAAACGAATATATGGTATGCCGTTCTTTCACACAAATATACCAACACGAGTAGGTATATGAGAAAAATTAATTTTCATAGAATAAACCGTTCCCATCGATTCATAAACCGTAACTTATTCTAAATGGTTCGCTCTACATTTTAACGTGTTGGTCACCCTCATACTCATTTTCGTTTTATCATTTTCATTCAATTCGATAATAACTTTCTATTCGTATTAATTGAATTTGGGTAGTTTCAGTAACTTTCCTTCATTTGACTAACAATTTAATAGTTTCATTTATTATTTAATTATTATTTCAATTAACATTTCATTGATTTAATTCATTGGAGCTTAATTATTCATTCCCAATTAATGACTAACTACCTACTCATTTTTTACGCAAAAGTTCTGAAAAACCTTTCTTTAGTGGTTAAGATTAAAATTACTGTTACATAATTAAAAATTATAATTATTTTTTGAGTATTCGAAAACAAGAATTGGAAGAACAAGATAAATAAGAGCAAGCAAGAGTCACAAAAATTCAGAAAAGAAATAGAATAAACAGAAAAGGAAAAACAAACATAGGTATGTTGTTTCAAGCAACAAGATGAAATGGATGCCATATAACGTTATTTAAAGTTGGGATTTTAATCAAATATGTGGATTTTCAATTTGTTTTAAACTAATACCCCTAAAATTTATTACTTTCCAGGTAAACGAATCGTTTACCTTGAAAAATATTTGTTTTTTCTATTGTTGCATGCAGAACATGATCTTTGTGATTTCAGCTGAAACACAATTTCAGCAGGACAAAAATTGTTGAAACTCTGTAGAACAAAATGTTTATACATTGACTGTTACTTTGTGATTTGGTTAACCAAAGAAAGATCTCTCTATATCTCTATAGTTGCCTTGGAAGTGATTGAAAGCATCGAAACAACTTAGAGAAAGCATATATTATTACTGGAGTTTTTTCCCAACACCAAACCGTGATTTTCAACACCTCGACACGTGTTTCGACCACCAAGTGATCATCTTCAAGAGGAAGATCAGTTTAGCTTGATTTTCCTCTTGAAGATGATCACTTGGTGATCAAAACACGTGTCAAAAGCTGTTAAAATAACGGTTTGGTGTTGGGAAAAACTACAGTAATATCAATTACTACACCAAAGGTTCCAAACAGTGCATCACAAATTAAGCATCTATTATTATCAAAAATTTTGTATTGTTAAATGGACCTATGAAATCTAAGTGCAATCTGCTCCAAACTTTAACGGCCACGAATTCAGAATAGATTGGTGACATTTAGTCACCCTTTTGGATTCTAAGGATAACATTTAACATTTCTGGGGCGTGAACAACAACCAACAATTTTGTTTTGAACGAACCAAACATTTTCGACATTCGTTATTCCTCGTATATTAAATAGAATTTCGGTTAAAGGCAACGTTTAGGACTTTATTGAATGTTCGAAATGTTGGCAAAAACTGAATTGTTCATCTACGAAGAATTTTTTGATCACTTTTCCAACTGATGAGCATTTGGAAACATACAATTTGAATCAACGAAAATAGCTTTCAAAAATTTCAACTTAGTGAGCTTATACCTACTCTAAAAAAAATTGCGGTGAGAACTTCAAAAAATTAACATTGGGACTGGAGCTTTTGTTAACTGATCAGTTCTTCAATGTACCACCAGCTAATTTAAAAAAATATCATAACCATTCATGGCATACCAAATACTCACTTTTGATTTTTTAATTCAATTAAAATCGACACCTGCACAAAAACACTCGCAACAAACCTCATCCACAAACTAACATCGGCCCGATCTTTCTTCCGTATATATAGAAAGGTGGGGTTACAAGTTATGGCAGAAGGCAAATAACAATTACAAACACATACAACCTCGTCCTGCACCTTACCTTGACCTCCCAAGATCCGATATGATGTCCAAGAATCCCAAGAATGAGCGTCTTTAGTGAAAGCATATCATTGTTTATCAAGAAAAAATGTGGGCTTTCGTGAAAAGGGTGGCTGGGGTTCGGCTTATTGTTTTGGAGAAAATCGGCTTTACCGGTGGGTGGTGTCTTGATTATAAATAGGTGTAAATTTTCTGTGTCACTTTCTCTCGTACGATGACTGCTAATGAATTTCTTATTCATTAGGCTTGTACGGGACGGAAGACGACGTCGCTTGATGAGACGTTGATCGATCGACCGCGGTTATGTGCTTTCTTTTTGTGGGAAAGAATATATCGAATTCTGATACGAGAATGGGATTCATGATGTCACAAGCTGATATTATCATAAGCTATTCGGCACTAATCAATTTGGATTCAGGAAATCAACCTCCACAGTAAGTGCGGTAAAAAAAGTAATCGCAAACATAATAACTTGCTTTGAAATAGGAGAACACACTGTTGCTGCTTTTTGTGATTTAACAAGAATTCGATTGCGTCTCCCATTCTATCCTACTGAAAAAATTAGATGGCTATGGCATAAGAGGAACCTCCCTGTCTCTTTTTTCTTCATATCTGACAGATACCAATATGTGTCAATTGATTCGAACAATGTATCCGATTTAAAACCAGTTACATGTGGAGTACCCCAAGGCTCGGTTCTGGAGCTTCTTTTATTCATAATTTATATAAATGATCTCTTTTCCTTCATGTCACCTCATAATTTTTTTGCTTTCGCAAATGAAACTCCTCTTACGACATCCGGAAAAATCAAAGGTAATTTGGTGCGCGATATAAAGCAAATTCAAAAGAATGCTGACATATGGATCAAAAGAAATAATCTAATGTTAAACGAAAATAAAACTAAATACATCATTTTTACATCAAACACTTCATGGGTTGAAAGACACAGTGTTGAACTCTTAGGCATACATATAGATGATAATTTGAACTGGTTAGAGCATTTTGAACAACTTAGCATTGAACTGTCAAAAGGCACATTTTTTCTTCGAAAATTGAAAGATATAATCTCTCAACAGGCGCTATCATCAGCTTTTTTCCATTGTCACATCTCATATGGAACAATTATCTGGGGAAATAGTACTAACGCAAGTAGGATATTTATGTTACAAAAAAAGTCTGTAAAGATATTATCTGGGGCTGGTTTCTTAGACCTCATTTCCTTTCGATGAAAATAATAACAGTACCTTCTATTTATCTGTATCAACTTTTGAAAGATATTCATAAAAATGAATCAACATTAAACAGAAATTGTGATTTCCACGACCATGAATCTAGAGGATGTGATTTGTTCAGGGCCAATAGATTCAGACGGAAAAAGTCAAGCAGAAACTCTATCGATGTCAACTTATACAATATTCTACCTCCCCGTGTCAAAAAATTGGGTCAATACTTGTATCTGAAATAAATATTGATTTCAAATTGTATTTAATCTACTGACGAGTATATAGCTGTCTTATCCAACGAATATTCATTATTGGGTAATAATGTATGTGTGTATATGTGACTTAACTTATTTGTATCTTATTCGTATACATCTAAAAAATTAATAAATCATCTTATCTTATCTTGAAAAAATAAATATTTATCTCACAACTACCAACACCATACATTCTGGTAAATGCCTGCCGGAAAACAACTTCTTCCCCGGCTAATACTACGCTGGATATTGAATTATATGCATTCATGCAAGATATCTCACAGAGGTTAGTCTCGCAGATGTTTCTCATTTATCTGGGCTTATTGCGTTTATTCTTCCATCTTCTCATGACACCCATTCCATCAGTCTCGTTCCCTGTACTAGTTTGTACAGGTTCCGTGTTGGATGTTCGTCATATTCTTCCAGACGTAATTTCGTACGGCCATATTATATTGCCTGCCTCCTGTGACTCAGTGCCTCACATTCGCATGAAATGTGTAGAGCTGTTTCTATCCCTTCGTTGCATAATCTGCAGCTGAGGTCTCCGTTGTGCAGCCCCATTTTATTCAGGTGTCCTCTAAGCAGACAATGACCGGTTAGTAACCCTGTAATTATTCTGAGCCGATCCTTACTATATTGAAGTAGTCCTTCGGTTCTTTTCTCGGGCGGTTCCCTAATGAAGGTTCTACTGTGTTTGTTGCCAGGTACTTTTGTCCAGTACTCTGTGTGCTTCTTATTGGTCCATGTCCTAATTTGGTTTCGTACCAATGAGTTTGGTACCCCCAGAGCTGGTTCAGGACCTATATATGAAGTTGATGATCCGTGTCTAGCGCATTCATCAGCTTTATCATTACCTGTGATTCCTGAATGCCCTGGCACCCAGTTCAAAAGTAATTTGTTCCTGTTTGCAAGTTCATACAGTTCTTCATGGCATTCCCAGACCAGTTTTGAAGTCACCTTCGGGTTTGTCAGAGCCCCTAGTGCGCTCTTGCTATCTGTTAAAATATTAATCCACTCTTTTCTTTCAGGTCTCAATTTAATAAGCCTTGCACACTGCAAGATAGCATACACTTCCGCCTGAAAGACGGATGTGTATAGTCCTAGAGGATAACTTTAGCTTAAATTTCTATCTGCTCAGTATATTCCAACTCCCGTTCCATGTTTGGTCTTCGATCCATCTGTATACCAGGTGTTTTTTTCAAATATGGGATGACTAATGATCGTCCACTCTTCACGGCTTATGATTTTGGCCGTGAAGTTTGTGTTAAAGTTGTACTTCGGTGTCATGTGGTCAATGCACATATTCAATATGTGCTCCTCCACATGTTCCGAAATTTCTTTTCGGTCCGATCTTTTGTAGTAAGGTGAGTTTTCCAGTCTGAATTGGCCCATCCTGGCCTCCCCCATTATCACAAAGTGTAAAGGAGGTAGATTCAGGAGTGTCTCCCCCATGTTTTTCCATAGGTGCGTCTGGCGAACATCGGTGTTACCTCCGCTTTCCTTTCTATCCTGTCCTAGTGTTCGTTCCAGGTCAATTTGGAATTAGAATTTAACCTCCCCCGACACTTGTATTTCTTCACCTCGAAGTTTAAAAGGTCCGAGACCCTCCATTTTAGTCCTCTTGGTGAATGCTACTATGGTCGATTTGGATGGGCTTATGTTAAGCCCTTCTTCTTCGGTACATCTTGTTATAATATTCAGGGCATGCTGCATGCATCCTTTCACTATATTATGTTATTTACCCTGGACTAAGACGACTAAGTCGTCTGCATAGCCCAGTGCTTTATACCCATTGTGGTCCAGGAGACAAAATAGCTCGTCCATTACAAGGTTCCATAACAAAGGGGATAAACCCCACCCTGAGGACAGCCCCTTGCTACCCGTGCCACGGGTCGTTTTCGAGAGACCTGATTCTTAGATCTGTTGTTTAGCGAAATTGGAAGCTTTTGATTATTAATTAGAAAAGTTTACGATCCTCACCGTTTAGTACTTAATTAGCACCTAATAGTGTTCCCTTAACATTCATTATTTCATTATTTCCATTGCGTTGCTAGCATCGCACAATGCTACCAACGCAACTGTGAGTATTGACTTGCGGTGTAAGTTACAGAGCACCTAATTTTTGACTTCGGTACCTAAAAAGTATCTAATTTTGGCATTTTCTGAATGCGATTTCCGTACTTTGCGTTGCTGGCGTAACAGAGCTCTTTGTTTGTCACATGTCACACTTTATTCGTCTCCCAAATTTAATTTCTACATGTTACATGTATGCATGCACGTAGATGGTTACTCTGTATGTTTCCGATATATGAAAAAAATATACAGGTCGCTAGACCTACTTATTATGTTTGCACGTCTAGTCAATGACCGTGTTTGTGATCAGCTTCACCGAATATTCATCAATGAAATTGAAATTGAACCAGTACAAGCCTTCGGATTGAAAGTGATTAATTGTTAGCTTTATCATTCCTCGCACGTTCAAGTTCAACTACAGAACTTGAACGATGGCGATTGCGAAAAAGTTCAATGTAGTGGTGAAATTCGCTGCCCGGATTTTAATAGCGATTTGATGAACCTGATGTGGTTTCTTTAACCAAAACAAGTTTGTGTGGAATAAATATAGTTTGAAAAACTGAAAAACACGCTTTTAAAGCGTCGTTTTTTAAATAAGCTTGAAACAATAACGAACGAAAAATATTAGTATTATTGTGAAAAAAGCGAAGGGCGCTTGATATACAAAAAATATGGCACTGGTTTGATAAAAAAATTGTAAAAACATGAAATAATGCGCACGGCTAATTATGTTGATTTCATAAACTGGGATAATCAAAATTGGGGAAGGTACCGAAATCGATTTACTTCATATCACTTGATATGTCGTGAAAGCAGCCTTTTTTCGGCAATATACTAATATCTTCGTTGCTTATTACATTTGATAAAAATTGGTGAAAATAAATAATATAATATCTTGTTTGCAGCATATAGGGGAGACCATGGGTCGGTTGATACAGATTTGATAATAAAACAAAACCTTTTTCTGGGAATGAAATGTAAAACTTGAACGTTTCACGCGCGTTTCTACAACCAAAAGTTGCCATCTTCAGAACACCGATACTTACGACATAATTTCTCTAAAATTTTCGAAAAAAAACCTTATTTGATAACTATGTTCGTGAAGAAAACTTGCTTGGGAAAATTGTAATGAATTATGAATATTTACTAGATAAGCTTAAAAATCATAGGCTAACACACAGATGGCGCTACTAGTAATGAATTCATATGATTTTTAGTCAACCCTAACCTTCAAAAGACACATGTACAAATTTCACAGCGGTCGGACTATTAGTTTGTGGGATAGAACATTTCAAGTGGAGAAATGTATGTTAGTTTGAAGAAAATGGATAAAAAGGAATTTCATGTGTTAATAAAGCATTGCTTTTGGGCTTGGCTTGATGAACATTATTCGGACTTTGAACCAGGAAATACCAACTGTTGAGAAGTGGTTTGCTAAGTTTAAACGAGGTGAAATGAGCACTGAAGACGATGCACGCCCCAAAGAGGCTGTTACCGACGAAAACATCAAACAAGTCCACAAAATAATTTTGGATGACCGCAAAGTAAAGTTAACTAGATATCTGATGTTCTTATAGGATATCAAAGGAACGACTTGGACATATCTTGCATGAATATTTGAGTAGGCGAAAGCTCTGTTCAAAGTGGGTGCCGCGCGAGCTCACAATCGAACAAAAACAATAACGAATTGATGATTGTGAGCAGTTTTTGAAGCTGTTCTACCATAAAAAACCCGAATGTATGCATCGATATGTGACAAAGGATGAAATATGGCTCTATCATTTAACACCAGAATCAAAACGGTCCTCATTTGAGTGGACTGCATGTGGTGAACTGACTCCAAAGCGGGATGAAACGCAATAGTCGGCTGGCAAGGTTATGGTATCAGTATTTGGGGATGCGCATAGTTTAATATTCATCAACTATCTTGAAAATAGAAAAACCATCAACAGCGACTATTTCACAGCGTCATTAGATCATTTGAAGAAAAAGAAAGTGCTGTTTCATGAAGACAATGCATCGTGTCAAAAATCAATGAAAACAATGAAAAAATTGCATGAATTGGGCTTCGAATTGTTTCCGCGCGTCCACCGTATTCTCCAGATCTGGCCCCAGCGACTTTTTCCTGTTCTCAAACCACAAGAGAATGCTCGCTGGAAAGAAATTTAGCGCCGCGCCGATGAAGAGGTAATCGTCGAAACTTGACCTTTTTGAGGCTAAAGAAAAATCGTATAATTTTTTTGTATTCTCGTTCTATACTAACCATTATTTTACTCATTTTCCAAACACTCACCCATCATGATTTTCCACTTATCATTTTCCGTCTCTTTTTGACGATGTTCTGATAAATTATGTCACCCTCCGGATGTTACCTAGTATCTCCAATATATTTAATTGGTATTGCATGTATATGATCAGTAAAAAACCGCAAAGACGATTAGTGAATCTCTGATCAAGGACTTAGATAATATGACCACCCATTTCCATTGTCACATTGTATGCTGCTAATACCTCACACTATTCATTATTGTTTAGAGAACGTTTGTGAATAAATATTAAGAATTCCATTGCCAGTGCATCGATAAATATTTTATACATGAATTGAATCTCATTATCCACCGTTCAATGTAATCAAAAAGGCAAATAATAGTAATTGAAAGAGCCTTTGAATGTAAGTGTTGATTTATTTGGATTGGATTCGGTTACAATTTCCTCTTCTGGTATTTGCCATTTTGGTTAAGGAAGTAGCAGGCTGAAAGTCCATGTCCATTTTCTAGGATGACACGGTATGCCTATATTATTCACCTATTGGACTATGATGCAAATGCTATAAGGGGAACTTCGTTTGTAATAATTTTCACACTTTCTCATCAATGATCATTTGATGAGCTGATGTAACGACCAAGAATAATGTTTTGGAACAAATATTATAAAAATTAGACCTATAAAATTATGAAAAATTGTAGGATAGCTGAAGAAGACTCTGGCTGGCCGAAGAATTGGATTCTGCATGTACAACGTTTTACTTTCAGAGTAGGAGTCGTTTTATTCAAACGGCCATGTTACATGGCAAAACAACATTTTTTAATAGGTATTTTTGGAACTTCTGACGTGAAATGAATCGATTGTAAACACTTCAGCATTACCAGGAGACTACTAAAACTAAATTTTTGTAGCTATCTTATTGTTTGGACATAAATTTTAGTAAAAATCATTGTGTAATATTGTTGTAAATTATCCCCTGAAAAAAAAAACGCCGGCCGCCGCTGGTCTTCGTCAATCAATTGACGCTCAACTCGACTTACACTACTAAAAGTCGCGTCGCTCCAAGAGACTTTCCTATCGGCTTCCAGAGACTTCATTTTCGTTATATAAACACTACCAACAGGCATATCGGGGAAGTCTAGTTGAAAGTGCTTTACAAAGTGATCTAATAGACATTTGAATATTAATTTGAAGTTTCAGTTAAAGTGTTTGTGTTGTATTGTCAGTGTAGCAGTGAAATAAAGTTGAGTTCAATTGTATAGTGTAGTCAATTATTGTTGAACCTCGCGGAGAAAACCATACATTTATCTTAACTTTTATCGATTACTACTTATTATGTTACCTATCATGTACTTGATTTCTACCTGTTATTATTTGATTACGTAAGAGAGTAAAAAACGGGATGTTTTGGAATGGGACCTGGTCCACAGCTTTTATTCCACAATTTTCGTTTTCTCAACTTTCTTAGGCATCTAAAAACCTGTTGTCAAGTGCCGATATCAACAATTTCCAACATTCCTCACTTCTTTTGTAGCCGCTTCGTTTGACCAATATACTTTTTATCGCAATCCACATGGCTTATTTCGTAAATCCCAACTTTTCCTTTTCAGTCATCTTCTCTTTTAGGTTAGGTTAGGGTTAGATGAAAGTTTGCGAGCAGATTTGAAAGCCACTCTCATATTTAGTTTCTTGAAAATGTATACCAATGAGTTGGTATATTTTGGTACATATGGATGAACTATAAATCTCGAGTCATCATTTTGAAAAATCACGATAAAAAAACCCACATCAAAATCCGTTGCATAGTTTTAAAGGTTCGTTTGCTAAAATTTGTAGCCAAGTATTAAGTGGAGAAGAAAAATGCCTTTAAAATTGTTGACATCTATTGTTGAATAGTTCAATAACCGTTTATTTAAAAAAATGATGGAGAAAAAATGCCTTGAAAATTGTAAAATGCGAATGCATGCGACATCTGTTGTTGAATAGTACAATAACCGCTTATCTAAAAAAATGCTAGTTTTAAAAGTTAGCTCACTCTTTCCACAGCATAGAAGAAATATTGATTTAGATATATTTGTTCAAAACACCGTCTACCTTCTCAATATCATAGTTTACTGTTAATGATATACACACTGGACACTCTTGTGTGAAGAACTCATATCGCTGTGCTAGAACAATACTAGGACAACTTGAAAAATGGCCAATTTAAGAAATCTGTTACAAAATAATGCTGAGAAAATGCTCTTTCTGGAGCTATACTGGGATATGTTACATTCAAAAGATTGAGTATGAAATAACCGATATCTCACTATTGCAATCTGTATTTTTTTAGATTTATTGTTTAATAGTGAGACATGTTGAAAAGTTTGTTTTTTCGTTCGATATGCGACTCATATTCTCATGTTTTGTTTTATGAAATAGTGTGACATTTTGAGTTGTCTCACTGTTTCCACAGCTATAAGGTATCTTCATTTTTGAAGTTATCCTCCTAGTATTGCATTATCGAATAGGTCTCAGTTTTTCACTACGAATAAACAATATTCAATCTAATATTGCTCCACGTTAATATTCAATACATATATTCCCAATATTCCCAATATCTTGGAGATGTCTTTGTATTGAATCAAATGAAGGTTGCAACTTATCTGTGAGAATTAGTTTGTCGCTGACACAGTAGGGAGCGGATGACACCGGAGTTCAAACTTGTTTTCGCTATGTCTAATAGGACACGAAAAATACTTAGAGAGGCCGCAAAATGTGGTGCATCACCAAAAAATGTTGCGAATGCGGTGAGTTAATATACAGAGTGCAAAAATTCATGAAGTAATTATGTATTTTTTTAGGATACTGATGATTTTCCATCAAAGGGTATCGTTATCAAACGATAGCGGGTCATTCCCAAAATGCATTCTTGCATAGAATCTTCGAAGAAGAGAGCTTTGTTGAGTGGGCTCTTGTATACTCCACAACAAGTGGAAATGGTTATCAAATTGGCAAAAAAATATGGAAGCCTTATTCAGTAGGTAAATAATATTGAATATTCTGACATAATAGATTGTAAAAACCTGTTGTCAAGTGCCGATATCAACAATTTCCAACATTCCTCACTTCTTTTGTAGCCGCTTCGTTTGACCAATATACTTTTTATCGCAATCCACATGGCTTATTTCGTAAATCCCAACTTTTCCTTTTCAGTCATCTTCTCTTTTAGGTTAGGTTAGGGTTAGATGAAAGTTTGCGAGCAGATTTGAAAGCCACTCTCATATTTAGTTTCTTGAAAATGTATACCAATGAGTTGGTATATTTTGGTACATATGGATGAACTATAAATCTCGAGTCATCATTTTGAAAAATCACGATAAAAAAACCCACATCAAAATCCGTTGCATAGTTTTAAAGGTTCGTTTGCTAAAATTTGTAGCCAAGTATTAAGTGGAGAAGAAAAATGCCTTTAAAATTGTTGACATCTATTGTTGAATAGTTCAATAACCGTTTATTTAAAAAAATGATGGAGAAAAAATGCCTTGAAAATTGTAAAATGCGAATGCATGCGACATCTGTTGTTGAATAGTACAATAACCGCTTATCTAAAAAAATGCTAGCTTTAAAAGTTAGCTTACTCTTTCCACAGCATAGAAGAAATATTGATTTAGATATATTTGTTCAAAACAGCGTCTACCTTCTCAATATCATAGTTTACTGTTAATGATATACACACTGGACACTCTTGTGTGAAGAACTCATATGTGCACCATATGTGCTTTAACACGGATACATCTTCAGACAAGACTTTTGATGTGTAACCATAATCAGTCAGATTTCAGGTATCCATCCTTAGAGAGAAATATTTTGATGAAAGTTACCTTTTTTTTAAAAACCGAAACCATTGTCACACTCTCCCCCATCTCACCAAGTTAGCATTTTCAAAAAAGGTCTCAAATTGATTTAGATTGAAAGAAAAGACATTTCAATTTGTACTATTCACTAAGAAGATTCTATATATTTTATAAAGTCTTCCAATTCACTGAACATTATGATCACGGGAACTGATGCAGTTGATGAGTGGAGCTACAATTTTATTTCGACATAAAAATAAACAAAATATATAATGACAGTGTTTTATTCAACTGCTTTCACTAAAGCTTCACCGACTTCTACAGCAATTGCCGCTTCTGCTCGTGCCTGCAAATGAGAAAAAAGTTCATGTGAATGACCGAGTTTATATTAATAGTGCCAATGAAAAATACATAAATTCGATTCGAGAAAATCTTTAGTAACCCAAGGAAGAAAAAAATTAATATGCCGAGTCACAATGGAAATAGATGAAAGGCATATGTTTCATGTTGATGATCACAACATTTCTGGATGAAAGTTACAACTCTTTTTACAAGCTTTCGAATAGATTTCTATGTTTTGTATTACTTTTAGTCCGAACGAGTATAATATTTTTGAAAATTCAAATGTTTTTTGTCGTTATGCACTTTCAGGTAGTGTGAGAAAATATTTTACCCCAGGAATACGTGTGCATTCAGCATACAATATTTGTGTCTATTCCTGCATGAAAATTGATGCACAGATTCATTTGCATAGCAAGTGTATGTCTTTTGAATAAAGGAAATCAATCACAAATACCGGAATAGTCATCTGTGCGAGTCATCTGTATTATCGAAACTTACATTGAAGCTGACAAGAAGGGCCAATATACAATCTGAACAAATCAATGACTCAAACAATTTCAAATGTGATATAAATAAAACTAAGTGTGAAGATAAACTAGTTTGTTTTGTGGAAAAAACTACTTCAGTTTTCTTTAAAAAAAAAATTCACTTGTTCAATACTTGTACACAATTTCTTTTTTCCAAGACTATTTCTCTATGAGACCTCATTGCATTTATTGATCAGTTCAATAAAATTACAGAACCTACTCAGACATGTTTATTTTCATCCCCATCTTCAACCTGTAATAAAAGTTGTCATTTTCCCCAAGAGTACTTGAAAAAAGCTGTTGAATGCCCCACACTGACTAAATTTATTTTTTATGAACAAGTAGATAATGGGTGTAAGCTGGCGTATATTGAAATATATAGACTCTGGTCAATTTCGCAGATTTTTGCTATTACGATGAATGATGTGTCTACCACAGCACATTTGAACGCACATTTAAACTTCAGAGACAATGTGAAATTGGCCAGGGGGTGCATGGCACTCAAAATGATTATAAGAATGACCAAGTGATCTAATTTTGAAGGTCATTGCAACCAATTGCAGCTTTTGTACAAATTTTAATAATAAAAAATTGCCTCAATTAACATAGTGGTGTTCAGCCTACGCTATTTTTCCACTCATCCATGATGCAAGTAGTAGGGGTCAGGTAGAAATACTCACCTCATCAGTTGTGGCTGACGATAATTCACTTTGTGCTTTGCTAAGAACTTCTCTGGCTGCTGAAGCATCTAGGTTTCCAACAGGGTGTGCTTCTTCTGCTAGAATCTGATAATTATAGGAAAGATTATTTTGAAAATTCAAAAATTGGCAAAAGATGTCAATCTGAATTAGCCATTTGATATTGAGACTGTAAAAAATCGGATGCACGTTAACTCCAGTATTAGTAGCCCACAGCACCTGGTAATTTCTTTCCGTAAATCATCTACAGTAGTTGGCTGCATCTCGCAGACTTTAATTTTCATCCATCACCATAAAAAAATACCTATGGAGTCAAATCAGGGGTTCTGGATGGCCACCAAAATTGATACGGGACTCTATAACAACTTACCATCTCAATTTCGAGATTTACCTCCAAAAAAATTCTAATCCAAATTGAAATTTATCTTTTCTAGTAACTGTATTTACAACTTCCAAGAATTTACTCAGTTGATCGCTGAAAATCGTCATGGATAATCACAGTGATTGAATATAATTCTATCTATCTATCTTTAGTTATTTGGGTTAATGTTTGGACGTGTCTATAAAATGTAATATTTTCTTGAGACAAATAAAAATGAAATGAAATGAAATTGTGTAGAACTTTACCTCCTCTTCCAATTCATTGACCAGGAAATGTATTGAACAGTAACTGTCACACTGGTATTATACAATGAGCAGATGCCTCATATTGTTGAAAAAGTACCCTATGTAGCAACATAGGATCTAACTGGATGGCAATGTTAATACTTGGCATAACCTGATTATTTATCAAATTGAAGTATCCTTTCCTGTTAAGGTTTGCTTCTAAAAAAAACAGGTCCAATAATATGGTGACTCAAAGTTCCCGCTCAAATATTTAGTTTTTGTGGATATTAGGAGTGAATTTGGCATGCCATATGGGGATTTGAATCACTCCAGTATCGTAAATTTTTATTATTCACCTGCCCATTCAGATAGAAGGCACATTCTTCTTGATCATTTCAAAAAATGACATTGTGTGTTCGGCTGGACTTTTAGGTAATAATTGAATAAAAGCCCAAAAAAGTACTTTATTATTTCCAACATTGGTTATTGTTGTAGTTGAAACGTTGGATATTGAATTGAAAGACTTTTCAAATTGGGTATCACCAGACAACGATTAGAAATTAAAATTGAGGGTTGTGAGGTGAGGGTGGCTGACAAGGAGTTGATTTTCATGTGCAAATGGGTCCCCTTGAAAACCAAAGTCGTCATGTTTCGCAATTTTTTTTATAGTCTCCATATCAACTATCTTATTCAGGTTGGAATTCACTGTGAATGTTCACAATAATAGAGGTGGGAAATTGCAAAATTTTTATAAGCATCCTGTGAATCTTGATGAAACTTTACATTAAATTTCAACTAACAAAATTTCTACTAAAAACATTACCCCACACCAGAACAAAATGCTACAACTAAATGCGGGTTTCTTCAAACAAATTAGCATCATCAGTCATGACTGACTGATTGAGTTTTAGTCATCCCTTGATGATGCTAACTTAGTAGACAAAACGTGAGTCAAATGACAATATTTTGTCAGGTGTTTCTAATAGATTTTTTTTACGTCAAAGGTTCAAAATCTATCAATCAAGTAACATAACTTCCCTATTCCATTTTTTTTGGTGTACAATTAGAAAATACCTGTACTGAAGAATCCTCATTGATGGTAACAGTTCCACTAGACACAAAAATTTTGTTGACATTGCCTCCTTCTTCATAGACTGTCACTACTCCCGGTTTAAGGACTGCTAGTGTGGGTACGTGAGCTGGTAAAATACCAAAACTGCCAGAAAATGATGGGACATCAACTTGTTTAACTGATTTAGCATCGTAATAGACCTGAAAGAATGGGATAAATTTAGAGCAACGTACTTCGAATTTACAGGAATATCCATCGGATATACAGAATTTTAGTTGACTTCTGAAATTTGATAATTTTGCATTCCGCACCTGATTTCCAGCAGCAAAGGTGAAGCTCATATCAGCATAACTTCTCTTCGCAGTTGTAGTGAGGGATCTCAAAGAAAAAAGTCGGGAAACTGATCGTACTGCTGCCATTTTTGTCTGAAATTTGACGAAGTGAAATTCCTTACTAAAATGATATCCTATTCATTCACATAACCTCCTATTACATAACGAATGCGATAATCACGATGAATATTCATGTGACTCAATGTATTTGAACAATTCGTATACTTACATTCAGAAAAAACGAGTGAGATTGATTTCAAGGCAAAAATCTAACAGTCTGAATTTTAAGGAATGAAAAATTGAAAATCCAAAAATTAGAAACACTAACTGTCAATCTATCAGTCAGTGATGACAGCTGTCTTTGTCATTGCTTGTCTCAAAGTCTTGTTCTGTGATTTGACACAGAACACCGTACTATAGAAGGCGAGTTCATAAATTTGACAGAAAATGTTTGACTGATTGCTTGAGCTAAAAGAAACGTACTAATGTAATAAAAATAGCAATATGTGAATCTATCTGAACGTCAGGTAGACTTATTGGTGGATTTAGAGACGCGTCAAGGTTTTGATGAAAGGTTTCTCCGTTTGAAAGGCAATATTCGATGGTAAGTCACTTTGAATTGAGTAATGATATATTGAAAAAAAGTCGTACAATAAATGAAAATACTCTATGATAACACAAGAATTCTGAAGACTCCCAAAAATATTTCATTTTTAGTGCTTGCTGAAACTTTTTTTGATTCTTAACAAAAATTTAAAGTGGGCCCATGAAACAGTTATGAGAAGTAAGTCATGAGTAATTGTGCGAGAACATTCATGTACCTGTTGTATTTTTAATTATGTATTAAAACTGTTATATCAAAAATCATATTTACTTTAAGGCAGGCCACACACTGTCAACTTTATTGGAGCAACTATCCAATCACAAAAACTAAATAGACACTCGATTATTTCAAACAAATTAGTACGCACATGTTTACACCTGTCTTCACATATTGGTGAGTAAAAAGTTGCTGTATATTTTCCAGTTGCAATTTCATGGTGCCCTTGTTACCAGACATCGAAGTCTTATAGAAGTAGTTGAATTACGCATCGACACACACACACGCATCACATGACACAAAAATAAAAGGACATGCAAATAAGATCCCATAAAAAAGTTGTGTTGCTAGGAGGCGCTTGGGACAGCAACGGTCAACTTTCAACCGACAGGAATATTTAATTACTGAGAACAAAAAGTTGCCGAAGTGCGCCTGGTCTAAAATTCAACCTCTTATGTAAATCGAAAGGAATTTCATAGAGAGGGGTATTTTAAGTTCAGTATATTTATTTTACTGAAAAACAAGAACCTTTCAACTTTGTTTTTCAAGTTTGCCTTTACGTTGATCAAAATATATGCATGCATATATATTTTTTTACATTTTGTCTGATTTTCATGAAATTGCTTTAATTTTTCGTGCATATAACTACACTGTGAAAAAAATATTAATATCTGTTACATTTGTTGCAAGGAGGCAACTAGCAATCATTAAGTTGATATTTATTTTGATATATATTGATATACTGATATTTCTTCAGGAGTTGAACCATTTATTTTCATTCATTGTCGAGTATTTTTTATACAAATAACCATTAGAAAACTGTTATAATGAAATTTACATCAAGGTTCATCGTCAATCGTCTCCGGTTACCGGTTAATTTTCTTGAATCCAGTCCTGTAATTTACAATTATTTCAAATTGTACATTTTCTCTCTCACTACGAAGGAAATTTCAGAAATACATCAGCCGCAGGAATTTTCTGAAAGAATTCGCTGGCAAAACCATAAAAAATTCTTCCATAAGCTTCGTCAAAATCTTTCTTTGAATCTGCCCAGATAGCTTCCCAATTATCGTTCACCACTCCATGGATTCTATCGGAGAGTAACTTATTTCCGTTGAACAGATTTTCGAATTCAAACTTCATGTTTTTGGGTTTCACCGAGACGTCATAGCTCTTGAGGATTAAGTGTCCATCATCTAGATTTTCGAATTGTAAGGTATGTATCACTGTCACGTTTGCTGAAAAAAAAATTATGAATGAGAGAAGACTGTGTTATAAATTGGTTATTAGTCACTTCAAGTCACACATTTCGTCGAAAGTATCGTTCATCATATGATTATGGTTATCAGTTAAAAATCAAACTAATTTTGTTGATAAATCTTCATTTCTATCGAATCTTTTTTTTAATTCACAAAACGATTGGATCAATTTACAGATCACAAAGAGTACCTACGTTGACCCTCTTCATGATATGGGAATGAAGAAAAATTCATTATCTCTTTTCCAGAGTTATGTGGGAAAAAGGGCAATATTTATTCTGGTGGGAATGAGAATGTTCTTACATTGCGTTATCCTACATTTCCCATTGCCAAAAATGGGAAAAACCAGAAGTCTTCCTTTGATGTTGTAATTGGCAATTTGTTTGAGTTCTGGTAAAACAGCTGTGAATACCAGATGATTCTCTTTCGTATTGAATCTGAAACAATACAAAACTTGAAAGTATTCAAACTGTTTTTCTGAAATAAAAAAAAAGTCAAGCAATGTCTGATCAAAACGAAATCAGGATAAAAAATATTATGCTGCCATAGGTTCTCCAAAAAAAGTTCGCTATTATCTCTATTATCTGTTACATTTTCCGTTATATTTTGTCAGCATTATTTACCATAAAATTCAAGAAGATACAGACTCCTCCAATAAAGTTTTGTCATTGAAGGACTCATATTGGTATACACTCAGGAGAGAGACAAGACCCAACGTATGAAGTGTTGAGAAATGTGATAGAAAGTTCAATGAAATATAGTACCTTCTTGATTTTTTTACATATTGCCAAAACCACCAATAAAATGGTTTTTACTTGTTTGCTTATTTGGTGAATACTCTGGACAGGCCTAGATCAAATGGCGAATGCCACACCTCGAGCTGTTCCAGTTGAGATATTGGCCAAACGTCGATTTTCGAAAAATATATATTTTCTCCCAAAAAATGAGTGTGGTCTTGAATGAAGTCGATAATGAGTAAGTGACCCTTTCAATATAAGTTTATACTCACCGTGAATTTATTATTGCTACCTTTGAATAACCGACAAGCTTCACGTCGGAATATTCTTGAGCAACATCTAGCACATTCGCTTTAGTTCCAATATTTATTTGAGGTATCTCAATTGGATCTAGTTTTGGAATTTTCAGTTCTTGTATACCTAAAATATCACAAATATGACAAATATTCCAAACTCAATCAAGAAACGCATATTTCTAAGATTGTTGAACTGAATAGTTTCAAAGGCATATATCTGATCATGTCTGGCATGAGTATTTACTAATAAAACTATGTTATGGATTCACTAGATCGTTTTTATTCATGGCTTTCCAGCTTTCTCAAAAATCGTTGCTGAAAAGCAGCCATCAACGGTTCTCTCTCAGACACCTTTATTAACAAGGCTGGTGTTGCCGCAGGGATCTATATTCCTCCCACTTTTTTAATATTGTATATGCCCGAAACTGCCCATATGCATTGACAACTGCCGACAACAAAAAGTTTTATATATTTAATGAAATATACATTTCTTTAGTGTACTACCCATTAAAAATGTATTAAATAATAAAGATTCGAGCGATACAGTAATTACAATAAGATGATGGTGATGTTAGGGTCAGTTATTGGATATACTTAGGTGACTTTAGATTCGCTGGTAGATCGGGAAAGAGCTGCAATATGAGAAATGAAAAATGAAACTGATAAGATGAAAAACTGAAATTCATCGATAAAATCATCTGAGGAAAAGAAATAGAGAATATGACTTTGAAATTCCGGAGCGACAGTTGCAACCTGGCTCTCGTGTTCAGACAGCTGTATTATGTATGCATTAATGATCACACCTCATTTTCTGTTTTGAAATTGTTTCTTTATTATACAGAGAGGCCTAACCAATCATATTTTCATTATTTCCGCTTTTAAACTGAGATTTATGTTTTTTCGACATTCAACATGGATATTTCGATTTAAAACTCACAATAATATGAGGTGAGGTAAGAAGTGAGGTAAGAAAACGTCTGAATTATGAGTTTGTATCTGAAATTTTCAAAATATATTAAGAAACTCAGGTTTAGATTTTCCACTTCCAAACTAAGCAAGCCAAGTTCCAACTGTTGTAAGACGTTTGTTGAATTTCGAGTCGGGATCGTTCGGAATAGGGACATACAAATATCTCTAGTTTTGAAATATTTTGATTTCGACAAGATCATTACCTCCAATGAATGCGTGAAAACTGTTTGGAATCACAAATATTACATTAATTTCTTCATAATACAAAATTGAAAATTCAGAATTTTTAAGTTCGCCAAAAAACGTATCCCTGGCGGTATCTGATAAACAAGTGAATCGTTACTTTCCTTAGTATCAATTTCTAACAGAGATGGCGTTCCAGTTGTTAAATTATAAGTATCCGATGTTCTCTAAAGACCGTATTTATTATTATTGTTGAACAGGAGGTAGAAATCTAAAGTATTTTCTCAAATATCATCGACAATTTATCATTACTGGAGTCAGTTGTATTATTATTTATAATTATGATTGTAGACGGATTTTCTGAATGTTCATAAGATAACCACGAGTGGCGCTAGCGTTTGGAGGAAGTTTTTCGAATTCAAGGTCAAATTGAGTTCAAATTGTAGTCCATGTTCGAATTTGAATATTTCAACAGAAAGTTCGAGAAAGTTATTCGAAAGAATAAAAAGTACATGCTTGTTCCCTATGTTTAGAAAACACAGAATACATAAAATATATGTGAACTCAAACTTTTAACATGGTATTTTATATAGATGACAAAATTCAAACTTGGGATATAGGAGCTTTTGATGAAAAAAATTACATCCTAAAATCTCATTGAAAGGATACTAAGGTCAAATTGTTGGGATTTGATTATTAACTTGGCAGCTTGACACATTAAATAATAGTGTTATTAAAATGTAGTTACCAAAGCTGGCTAGATACAAGTATTTAGAGTTATTGAATAAAATAATATATAAAAGTGTTATTCAGTTTCAAGATAACATCCGAACCTACTTATACCTTTTTTGCATGAATATTTAATAGCTTTTTCTATTGCTTGATCCAAACATTTTCCATCGTCTGGTAAGCAGCGGTCAAACTTTCCAACATCTGAAATGAAATAACAAATAAGTTTTTGCCAATATTTGTAAATTTCACAGGGAATACATTGAATCAAAACATCTTATATGGTAATAATTTTTTGGTATTTTTTTTCGTGTATTAGTTTTCAAATGTAGTATCCTGTATGTATTTCCTTATAATGAATAAATAAAGTATGTTCTTTGAATACCTCTTCAATAAGATTTCATAATTGAAAATTATAATTGATTGTAAAGTGTACATTGACAGATATTTTGAAAAGTGTCAACTGGTAGATTTGAAAAGATTATTTTGTGAAATTTTATATTTAAAATAAATTTTAAAAAACAATTCATTTAGATTTGTTTCTGAAGTTTTAGTTTTCTATGAGTTTTTTTCTATAGTTGCAGAAATTGGTTTCAAATGATTATCATTTCCTGATGACAGTAAAGTTCTACGAAAGCTGTTAGCCATTTATGATGTACTTTAATATCCGTGGTAATATTAGCACAGTGAGTTGTTTTCTGGTGGATATCTGATGACTAATAAATTTTCCCATTTTATTCACAAATCATATTAACTAGAGCTGAATAATACATATATATAGTATAAAAGTTTGAGAGGTATTGAATGAATAATTTACCTAATGTAGCGAATGAAAACACATTTTTTCCAACTATCTCAAGACATATACTTACGAAAATCACTTGTTATTGCAAAAGAGAATGAAGAGAAAAGTATCAAAATGACTTTCATGGTCTCTTCCAAAACAAGTCGGAAGAATACTGGTCAATTTGTATAAATACCACTTCTTTTATAATGCCTTGATTGCAGAAATAATCAGCACTGACCACTATTACACAATGTTAATGTATAAGGCGAAACGAGAAAGAGAGGAAACGTTTTATTAACTGTGGTAAATCGTTCAAAAAAGAATTTGAATATATTCCACCGGAGTTATTGAAATCTTCGAACGGTTTTATCTCTGTCTTGATTGATGATAACTTTCTTTCTTACAATTCTTTTTGTTGAATTTTTTGTTTTATTTGGACAAACCATATTCTAAAGAAAATGACTCTTCCATAAAAATAAGGTCTGTAAGATCAATTCTTATTCTTTCTTCAACTACCGGTCCTATTGAAAATACGTTTTTCATTTGAAAACTATCTGTCTAGTTAAAAAATGAAACCTAAAATCCACATAATCTTTCGAACACAAATCAAAATAATGAGTAATTTTGAATTCACCGTGTATAACTACGTACATATTTGATTTAATTTTGTAGTTTACATTCTCTGCAACGATAAATGCTAAATGATTAGCCAAGTTATTCGACTACCTATCCCATATTTAATACAATGTTCTTAAGTTCCTATCAGTTGTGAAGGCCGTAATTGATAGATCAATAATGCTTCTAGAAAGCAAATATATCAATTATATAATGAACTCAAATTGAGCAATCACTTTCCCTTGAATGAATGCATGTCACATTAGTCCAGTCAAAAAAGATAACAGATTTTGAATATTTGTAGTGTATATATGAAGTTGAAATGAATCTAACATTATTTATGATAATAATTGAATAACTATCACACAATACGCATTTCGCCACACATTAGTTTCTTCAGTTCAACTGAAGTGTGTATTATGTTTTGAACAACTGGCAAAAAAGTTAGGGGCCTCCATACATCAAAATAATCCGGCCTTGTTGGTCAGGGACCATATCAAGAACTTGTTTTCGTTGAAAAATCGATATCGTGAGTTCCTCCTTTGTTGGGCTACTGCTGATTCACAGAATTATGTGGCTGATTTTTCAATATGACTGTTTTTTTTCAGAGAGACGTGGGTGTTATAATAACACCTGTTATAAGATTTTCTCTTGGGACTTTCGCCTCTAACAGTTTTCATAATGATCTTACACATATTGTTTTCCTAAAAAATCTTGATTGGAGATGAAACGAATAGCAGTTTGGCCATATACCGGATATTCCGCCACCGAATATCCGGCAAAAAACGTTGATAAGCGAAATTAACACCTTGCAGCAGTGTGTACAGCGAAAGTATTTCTTCTGAAGCTGGCTTTATTTACGAAAACAATTGAAACCGCTGCCTCCTAATGCAAAGAAATTAGTATTCATTCATCATAACTTGCCTTTAGTGCAGTAGCATTATTTTTTTAATTACTTGAATTGAAGGGGTTATATTTTTAGGAGTGATTAATTTTTGGGAAAGAAAGTTTTTGGCTTTCTACTACTCCATCTTGATACAAAAAACAGGGAGGAGGGAATCTTCCAAGGAAAGGAAGGAAGTAATCAATTTTAAAATAAGTAACTCTATACATGGTTGTGTATATTTCATTTTTTGAGAGATACTAACTGAATAAAGTAATTAATTACTTAAAAATGTATTTTTTTAATCCTGTATTCGTCCAGATAGGCGTTAGTTATCCGGTATTTGGCCGGGAAGTATTAGTTTGATTTCGGTTGAGTTTCGGCAAAAAAACGGGTTTCAGTGGCAAACCTGCCGAAACTATTTAATCTGTGCCGAAACTACGAACGAAACTGCATTCGGGAGTTCTCGCGCTGTAATCGGTCATGTTAGGTGCGTTAAATTTCATATAAGCGACGAAGAAATTTTGCCGCGTCCACGTGCCTAATCATGTCGTGACTTACTTTGTTTATTACATAATATAAGGGGTTGTTATTATGGATTTGTTGATTATGAAAAAGTAAAAATGTCGAAGACTGCATAACGTTGTGATTTAAAGATAAAAAAATAAAGATTGACTGATTATAATAACGTTTTCTTTATTTTTCCCTCAAAACATAATCCTTGCAAGGAAGTTATTCGGTTTCGGCCGAAACTGAGACCGTTGCCGTAATTCGGTTTCGGTCGGACACTAGGTAGTATTTAAGCCGCTGGATACCGTATATCCGTTTCATCTCTACCAGTTGATTCTTCATAAAATAAAGAGATCCAACATACTACAGCACTCCATTTTCAGAGGCGCTAAGCGCACACTTATGTTTATATCTAGAAACGACTCTTGTTTCATCTATCAACTTGTGTACAAAGTTGGGTCGATCTCTTTTCTCGCGTCAAGAGATTTTGACAAAGCAAAAGCGTTCAACACTAGGGTTTCTATGCATCTTCCCAGAGACGGATTCAAATTCACTTCCACCTTGTCGAATGTAGGAAGAGCTTTCTGAATTCCGTTATGGTCCCGCCTATTAGATGTTAGTTCGTTATAAGACTATGAGAGCGAGAGAGAGAATTCTCAAGTCTCTCTCTCTCTTTGTATTATCGACTGTGTCGATCATACAAAGCTACTAGATAAACTGCATTCTTACGGATTGAGGGGTGTTTCTCTTAATTGGGTAGCATCATTTTTGAGACATCGTGTGCATGAGAGCATACAGTATAAAAATCATAATAAAGTAGAAAATGTATCATCTTCAAACTCAGAAGTCAATGTAGGTGTCCCGTGAGGCTCTATTTTAGACCCTATAACCCTATATTATTTCTTCTCTACGAAATCGGTACAATATTTCCTAGGATACAATTTACATTAAATGCTGATGATATATCATTGATTATTTCTAACAAATCTAACAACATCTTACAAAATGAATGCGAATTTATATTAGAGTCTTTGATGAACTGGTTTTGGTGAAATAAATTATCATTCGATCCAAACAAAACTATTGTAAAATTTCAGACAGCCCAACAACACAGTGAGGACTTCAAAATTGAACTATCCATAGTCAAGAAAATGTAACCAGTGATACTGTGAAATTACTAGGTATTGAACTAGACAAAAATCCTAAGTTCAAAACACATTGCGAATCATTAATATCTAACCTTAATTTCATTCTATTACTTGATCTATAATTTGAAGACTATTCTAACTCATGAACAGTTAATGGACTTCTACCGTGCACAGGTGAAATCTCATTTGAGATATGGGATTTATTTCTGGGGCAACTCCATACATTCCAGGAACACAATCATTGGACAAAAAAGAATCGTAAGGTGCTTAGCAGGAAAATCAAGACAACACTCTTGCAGAGATCTTTTTAAAAAACTGAACATTTTAACTCTGACTGGATAATTTATTTATGAGATATGTTTATTTGTCTATAGAAATAGGAAAGGAATCCCGAAGAATTATAACACACATAACATCAATATGAGACAAAAGAACCACTTGCGTATATCTTTTGCCAGATTGAATATTACCAGTTCTTCGCCAAACTATATTGAGCCAAGGTTATTCAACAAATTACCTGAGTCAGTAAGAAATTGTACTAGGGAAATAGAATTTAATTTTTTTATTGACAAAGTTTTTTATATTATGACTGAATTTTTGTGTATGTAATTTACTTTGAAGATGATCACTTGGTGATCGAAACACGTGTCGAGGTGTTAAAAATAACGATTTGGTGTTGGGAAAAAACTCCAGTAATATTAATTTACTTATTTGTAATATACTTTTATTAGTTTGTTAGTTTTATAGTTGTGAAGTGTCTGTGACTATTCCTATGCAATGTATGTTGTCAATTATGGGAAATAAATGATTGATTGAGTGATGTTACATTTGTCCAAGTTGAACGGATATGAGACTTGGACTATACAACAAAGGTAGATGTCTTGATATAACTTTATATGATATCAGTGTCATGAAAAGGAAAACGCTTAATGATGTAACTCTAAAGAGATGATGAGGTTTAATAAAGTGGAAAATATGACCCAGGAAAGGTGACATCAAGGTAACTCCAGTGAGAAAAAGGATTTCAATTCTTTGTCAAAAATGTTATGGATCATTTTGGGAGAACTCTGAAAAAAAAAACAATAGATAAATTTTCTGGACAACAAAAATCATCAGAAAGCATCTCAAGGCTAGCAAAAGCCCCTAAAAAGATCCATTGGCAGCACCAGGGGTATATTGGATTATCTGCTGCTTCATTCATGAAATGAATTATCATCCCGCTCATAATGTTAAATGAGCTGATCATTTAATTTTTTATGTAGTAATATGTTATTGTAGTTGATGAAATTAGAGTTTTCCTCAATTTGGCCCCAATTTGCGATGCAATGGTATTTTATCAGGTATATACTCGAGTTCTGTCCGAGAGTTAACTACATACCCCTGAAATCCGTCTATGCTCTGCACGGATAACTGAAGGTAAAATTGTAACTTTCACTCAATTCCACAGATCTGTAACTGAACGAAAGACGAATTCATGAGATGATTGTCCTTAATTCGAGAAAAGAAAAATACTAACGGAGTGAACGTATTGTTTTGCAGTTCATGAACAGTCAATAACTGATAACTATATAATGTACCGTCAACAAATTCAGATTGTAATTCACATAAGATTCTGAGATTTGAAACGGTAGAGTAGTGGGAGGGGGGCATTTACTGACCGCCGAACAGAACTTGAAATTAATACCTACATTTTCACAAATACAAAGTATGCAATATACACTCTGATGCTATGAAGGACTTTGTACTGATGTACAAAATTGAATTATTATAGTTCTTTATCGAATTTTTTTAGGATTTTCACCTTCCACAATCAGAAAAAATTAATAATTGTAATGGAGAAATTCTTAGTTCAACCTGATGAATTACTGCATAAATTCAGAATTCGTATCTGCATAAAGGTTGGGTCGGTGTATGACAAAAAAAGAATTTGGAAAAAAGAAATAGAAACTTTTGTTTGCAGTTTGGATGTTTACTGCACGAATAATCTAACAGACTGATAACAGATTTCTACACATCTACTGCACATCTTGAGGGAGGGGCTTCTCACCAGCCATGACTAAGTCCGGCAGCTGTATAACACAGTCAAAAAATATTAGATCTCAATGATACGATTATCAGATATTGTGGCTCTGTGAAACTAAGATAGTCGGCGAAACAGGTATGAGTATGTTGAAACTGCCATGCAAAACGCAGACTTTCCTCACATTACAATTCAACAGGAATGTTGGGAACTGAAATGAAACGAAAAGTTATGTTTTCATAGTTCAAACTTTTGCATACTTCTCACCAATTCCAAATCAGAGTCCTCATCTCCAACAACTACCACTATTTTATCTTTGCTATTTTCTAAAAGAGCGTAGTGCTGGCCAACATTTTCCAATTTCTTCTCGCTGAAAGATACACTGGAAAAAGGTATATTGATACTTCCAGTGACACTGCACCTGTTGAATCTAGAAAAAATTGTATTAACTCTTTCGTATTAACTCAGTTGAAAGTACTGAAAACTCACTGAGTCAAGTTTCGAATGTCAACAACTAAAATATCATCTGGTTGGTTACGAACCAAATTAATTACGTCATGGGCACTTATTCTCGGATATCTTTCTTTCTTGAGTTCTTCAAGGGTGATGTTCTCTATATCCTACAAGTGAGAAAAAGAGAAAATTGCAATCGTGATTAAATACAGAATTCCCAGTTATCGCGAATATCTATCTTGATTTTCGTAGTGTGTAATTTTCTCACAAAAAAACTAATCCCTTTTGAAAATCAATTCATTGTCTAGTCTGTCATGTACATGTCTTAACAATTTCAAACAATGTTCCTGTATTCCATGGTTTCCCAAGCCATGTTTATCTACACTAGACTTTTCTAGTCCTTATTTACTGTAATATGTTTGCTATCTATACCAAAACATGATTTTTTTTGGCATTGTTGGAAGAATAGAAACGGTTTCTAACCGTGATCTGAATACATATTTTTTTGAAAAAGATGGAAATTCACTTTATTTTTTCAACAGACCTCGTATAACATGACTAGGTCCAAAATTAACTTTTCCATTAACCAGCTATCATCCCCATATGAAAGACAACCTTCAAAAGCAAATAATTTGTCAAAATAAGGATTACCGAGGTCTTATCTTTCAACGTGTAATTCTCAGCATGACACATTTTGATATTACAGGATATGAAGTGAAGAATGACTGTTATAATACACACAATCTATAAATACTTTCAAAAAGTCCTGCAACAGCAAAAACTTCATGATTGTTCAATACATCTAAAGCTAGCTTCTAATAAGTAAAAAGCATTTCGAAAAATTTCTCAAGGATTCGGTGGTAATTAAATTTTTATTCAACTTACGTATTCAGTTTTCATTCGATACTCCTCATTCTCATGTTGCCTTGCTGTTATGCTTGTGGGTGTTGTTTTGAAAGTACTATTCGAAAGTACCACGCATTTTTCAATATCCACCTCAGGTAGATCAGAAAACAGCAGAATACATTCGTTGAAACCTGACGTCAGCAATCGATCTCTCAGCTGAGTCAATATCGACAGACCGATATGCAGTGAGTACGAAGAATTTCCCAACAGCACCTTGTCCCACAGATGGAGTATTTTATATAGAGGAAAAACGTCTAAAAATATTAGAATATTAACAAGGAAAAACCATGAGGGATTAAACTTCTCACGTGAAAATAACGTCAAAAACCATGGTATGGCAAAAAGCTGAGGATAAAAATTTATCTCGTATAAATGATTCGCCAATTCCGGATCGTGGAACGCTATGAGCTGTGAAAATTTTGCAAGGTACTCCTCTATCACAGCTGAATTATCCTTCAAAAAGAATTTGTGCAGGAACTTCGGCACAAATTCTGACAAGCAGGCAAAAGCTTTAGCTAAAAAATTAAACCAATTTCACTTTATACAGTCCGCTTTTTTTGCTGATCTCACTGTTGCTATCTGGGAAACGGTGAGACCTACAAGGTAGGAAGAACCAGAATAATGTCTTTTCAGATAGAGAACATCAGTGGCTGTTTATGTAATATTCGCCTAAAACTAGATTTGTCGAATTTTGTTTTTTTGGTTCCACCGCTTCCATTTGAATGATATAAAAAAGGCAGAGGAAATTTCAATATTGTTTCATATTTTTATAATCTGATTTAAAAAAAAATTGCAATGCGACGTTTCGTTCATTACATTTCATCATCAGCTTATCCAATTCAAGCGACCTTGCTGGTCTTACCGTTTCCGAGATAGCAATAGTGGAATCAGATGAAAAAACCGCCTGTATATAAAGTCATGTGATATATCAATGAAAAATTTAACTAGTTTTCTGGCATACCTCCTAAAAAATATTGAACGGTATGTATTTCTGACGGTGATTCTTACCCAGCAGAATAAAATTTTTAAAAGACACGACTTTCATTGATACGCAGCAAACACTCCAAAAGTGACTCTATAAAAAACTACAACCGAACAAAAAAATCCCTATGATTCAACGTCTGTCTATGATTCAACGTCTGTCGCGATATTAACCAGTTGAATAACTGTTTTCCAAGAGATATTTGTCTGATTTTTTACCAAAGAGAGGATTATGCATTATTGTACTTGATATTATAACCAGTAATATGTATATACAGATCGGCCATTCTAGCTTGGCCTCATTCTCAATTTATAATCAAAAAAATGTAGCGGTAGTTGATAATATCTCACACGTTTCAAAAAACTGGAAAAGTCGCCAAAATCATTTTCGAAGGACACAGAAATGCAAACTAACATAGAAAAGACCGATTTGCCCTAACAAGAGGAATTAAATGAAGATAATTAGCTTGTCAAATGTAGGAAGAGCTTTCTGAATTCCGTCAAAGTCCCGCCCACTAGATGTGCGTTTGTTAGAAGACTATGAGAGCGATAGAGAGATAGAATTATCAAGTCTCTTTCTAGATTTGACAAGCTGTGTGTCAATTTCTAAATTTTACGCAGCCAAACAATATTAAATAATGTTACAGGGATGATACAGTATTATTTTTTTGTCTGTGCTTCACAGTGACTCTTTTCTCCTTTTTTTTATGCAACTCAGAGGCCAAGCTAAATTAATCGAAATATTTTGTTCAAAACTACTTTCTTTTTTCAATGGAGCGCCCTGTACATTAACACCGAGAAAGATTCTCTTTGATGGGTTAACAGACTTCATTAACAAAAAAAAAGAGTGTGATTCTAGGATAAGATAAAATCTGTCATATAGGGTTATTTTAACTGTGTATAATAGTTATTAGAGTAGAAAATTCATCAAATTCATTCTCCAACCTTCATCATTGAAATTGAGGTAGAGAAATGGAGCTGTTAGAGAGTCAAGTCCTTGCCAGTAAACAAATTGAGAATTCTTGTATACCCAAGCTTTGAGAATCCTCTTCAATTTTCTGTGACCTTCTGCAGATGATAATAATTCGTTGTATTGATGACATCTAGGAATGTCAACTTCAATCTGAAATAGAAACAAAGAAATGTCCAGATATAATTATGCATAGCTCAATCATGATCGTCACATAAGAAATCACTCGAGAAATAATTGTTTCACCTGTCGATCTGTTGCTGTCGGAGTATATTTGTCAATTCTCATATATTGAGCTTTGTAATCTCCTTTGACGTTTAGCAATGCAGCCCATATCTCTCCTCTGAGCAGAGGAGGTATGTCTTTCTCTGCTTCTTTGAGAATTAAGTCCCTGGTAAACGGATAACCCTAGAAATTAAAATGATGCTATATTTAGTACATATTGAACATAATCTATCCCAACAAATGGTGAAACAGAACGTTTTTCAATGGGCGAGAACATAGTCCCATTAATTTGGTTCAAATGCGCTAATAAGCAAAGTATAGTGATGAAATGATATTTCTGTATAGTTTTTCTACAAAGACATTATGTATTATTCGACAAAATGTCAATCAAAAACCCTCCAAACTCGTGTGGCACTCAAACAGCGTTATGGCGCCAATTTATTACGCTTGTCAAATGAAGGAAGAGCTTTCTTATCTCCGATATGTACCTGCCCAATAGATGCGCGTTAGAAGACGTTGAGAGCGCTCAGTTCTCGGTCGCTATAATAATATCTTGGTGTATGCGTGCGCTACTTTCCATCCTCTGTCGTCCAAATGCATACTCTGTCAGGGAACGTCTAAGTTGTGAGAATTCTCAAGTCTCTTCCCAGATTTGACAAGCTGTACTATGATCAGTTGAAGAATAATGAGAGCTAGATAGAAATCTTGCGAAAGCTTTTTAATTTTCACAATAATTCATTGACTTTCAACATTATTTCACAGTAACTTTGTTAGGTTATTTTACCAAATAATATTTGTCAGTTACATTTCTATAAGCTCTATATCATTAACAACTCGAGTCATTAAAAATATTGAATATTCGAACTCGGCATACTTTGTTCTCTATAATTGCTAAGTTCATATCCTACTACTCTTGATATTAGCGACATTTCAGTCAAATTTTAAACTGTAATTTATCGTTTACATGTGGACCCTTTTTCAGCTGAATTCCTATTTAAATCCCTTAACCCCTACCCTCCATACACTGCAGAGGATATTATAGTACTTATGACGTCTGATCTCTGCCATTTACAAAAAGGATAACTCCTTTGGGAATTTATTACCAGTTTTCTCACTGTTCTGTAGGTGGTAGCATTTTTCCAAAAATGAATAGTATTCTCGCCCATTGAATGTCAAGAGAAAGTAAAAGAAAGATAATTCAACTCACATGTAATAACCTTCTAAGCAGTATCACTCTTTGGAATTGATATTCCGGATCCCTTTCTTTGATTATGAGGGGTAGGCCTGTAGCATCATAGGAGGGTGGTTCTGACTGATTTATTATATCGGACTTGATTTGAATTAGGGGGTAGTAAGAAACGAAGGGTATGTTTTCAAATCTCTGGTAGAGAGTGTCCAAAGGCATCTCTACAATCCGGGGATCATATAATGTAGCGGGATTTCTTTCCTGGCCCAAAATGCTGCCTTCTATGAGAACTAAGCTTGAAAGGAAAAAAAATATCAGGGGTGTTCAAATGCAATTTTTGTCAACGTTCCAGTAGTCGTGCAAGGGCCCTTTTTTATAGAAACTTGTGATCAATACCTTCGTTACTATACATGACATTTAAGGGTTAGTAAGGTAACTACTAAGTGACTATTTGTGCATATATTTTTTCCTGATAAAAGGTAAAACTGGAATCTCTGGGGTGAAGGAAATCCAAAACTATAGTAAAACTAATAATGATTGAGAGTAAAGCGCGTTGTCATATCTAAATTTTACGTTACCAGTTTATCGCAGAATCAAAATATAGTAAGCAGTAGAGTTGTAGGTTGTGGCAAATTATAGATAATACACAATACTAGTACGATTAAAAGGTATTATTTATGACAAAAATCAGTAATGAGCTTGTAATGAGTAATACTTATACATTTCCTGATTACTGATCAGTTAAAATTCATTATTTTCTGTATAGTGTTAGATATTTATTACAACTAGTGGCAACGCTGTACGCAACGATATTTCTGTCTTTGTCACTTTACCG